TCATTAGCGCTTTGGTAGCCGATGCTGTGTTTAGCACTGAGAAGCCTCTGCAGCACTGAAACAATAGCAGCACTGTGGAGCCCACAAGGCAGAGCTTTACATCTGAGCAGGGAAATCAATAGAAAACAGCTTCGGCGCTGGGTCAGCATCAGGGAGATATAGACCATAGGATGGCTGAGCGTGCATATTTTTATGCAAAAATAGTGCATTAAGATGTGAGATGGTAGACAATATTTATTTTAAAAAGTACAGTCTGAGGTTGGACAGGAACCCCAAAGTGTTTTGTTCTTGGGCATCTTAAATTTCACCTGAAGTCAAGCTTATATCAGCATCATAACACAGGCTTACACTGTGTTGCCAGATGTCAGACACTCCCTAATACAGTTAAAGGTTGCATTAGACGTTCAGTAAACACGTGTTGGATGATCAAACTTCCTTTCTGGTGTGTTGCCAACCTCCTAGGCGACTAATCAGATGCACCAAGTGTTGCATCCAACTAACAGAGAGGCAGCAGCATCACCCTGCAGACAGTTGATGTCTGTCACCATCGGCTGTGGACGTCAGCCAATGAGAGGCAGGCATCAGCCTCTAGCCCTCGACCAAAGCTCTGCTGCTGACTGACGGCGGACGTCGGTGTGCTGCCGTGCTGTGTCAGTTCACTAATCCATGCGAACATGTCTTGCCTTACAGTTTGTCGCCCACTTGCCAGAGCCCAACCCTCCTGAGCCCATGCAGCCCCTGCAGCCCCTGCAGCCCCTTACAAACACTTCATCCCTGGAGGTAAGACAGGCAGGTCACACGTAGACTGTTTCTATGGACTGAACATGTTAAGTGCCTTTTTACAAAGGTCTCTCATCAACCAGTGAGTTCACCACAAAACCAACAGTTAGATGAAACACCTAACAGGTCTTGTCAGTGTAGCTAAAGCCTGGTAAAGCTAATTCATATGTACCATGGAGCAACAATCTTTGTTGTCCAAAAACTATTAAAAACACATAAATGAGCCACATTTTATTACAGTAATTTGATTCAACAATCCCACGTACACCATCCTGCTGCTCACTAGAACGCCAAATGCATTTATCCATTGCTGGAAATAGTCCCTAACAAACTGTTTACTCCTGTTTGAGTCATGTTTGCTAGTAACTGCAGTGCCCAGCTGTTTGAGGAAATTCTTAAAAAATAAAACCTATTTATATTTTCGAGCCATTTTTTAAAGATTTACAAACAAATGGGAGTCGGACAGGGTGGAGTCGAAATATTTAGTGTGAGACTAAACAGACTAAACAGTGTTTTAGTCTGTCAGTCAACACTTTTTGGTCTTTTCATGGGAGTTGCAGGATCACTAACCTTATGCTTTAATAACCTTGGTCTGTACCAGTGAACGTCCACTGATTCATATTGCGAAGAGCAAGGAAGATGCCACAATATTTTAGATACCACAAAAAATGAGGTGAAATGATAGGACTTTGGCTACATGAATCAAAATTGTACAATTTGTATTATTGCTATTATTTGGTAGAAAGTAACCGCAGACAATGTCACCAGGAGGTCCTTTTAGCAGCTGTCCTGGTGCTTTCAGTCACATCACTGATTTGAGGCCTCTTTAAAAACATGCTACAGATATAACATGACAGAGTAGAGTAAAGCTCTAATTTGTCTTACAGACAGCAGATAATAATTTGATGTGTATTAAATGAGATTTGTTTAACTTTATTGATGCAGTTTGGATTAGTATGACATCAAAAGAATTATATAGTTATATTGTCCAAATTGTGGAAATCTTTTAATTAAGCAGCTAACCTGAAGTGTTTTCTGCAGAGTGGTTTTCCAATGACAGATTTTATAGTAGTAACTGTAAAAAAAAGTGTGAAATATAAATGTAAATATATGCAATAAGTCTTAGTTTTTTGTTTTTTTTGTATATTAAGGTGCTTCTGTTTCACCAGTGAAGACCTATCATTTATTAGTTGTCTCTAAGTCTATGTGGGTTGCCTGGCAACGGTGCTGGGTGCTGTGGAGGAAGGCAACACTGCAAACAGAGGCGGCTGCATCCAGCATGTTTCTGGATGTGTGAGCAGTGCTAGGCTGTCACACCACACACTGTACAGTAATGAATCCCATTTTCTCTCTGTTGAAAAATGAGCAAATGTTAGTGGGAATGCGATAATCAAGAATTCCTTAACGCGACGCAGTTTTTCTGGTGCCACAGTATGGCAGACTGCATATTTGTTGGCATCATCCTTCACAGCATTTTGCATTGGAGACCCCCACCCCCACCGCCTTGTTTTGTTTTACCATCCAGAAACATGTTCATTCTCTTGCATCAGATTCTATATTTGTATGCAAGTAAATTGCTTCCTTACATTGACCTTTGATTCTGATACGCTGAATATGTAGAGGTTGGGCTGATGGCATTGATGCAATCACAACGGGATTCATATTCAGTGTATAGAGAGAGTGCAACATATATACAACTATTGTCATTTTTATTATTATAATGACAGCTTTACATTGCAGATGTCTAACGTAAAAAAGGCATGAAATGCAATAAAGGAACATAAATATACAGTAAAAACTAATCTAAACTACAGGATATATATATATATATATATATATATATATATATATATATATATATATATATATATATATTGTGAAGGTTTCCACAGTTTAACAGGGGAGCCAGAGTAAGAACCCACAAAAGAAATAACAATAATCAAAACAAGATTAAATGAACACGAGAAATCATTCCCATCTGGGTTTGGGATACAAAGAGCAGTATGTTTGCAAAATAGGAGTGAATCAAATACTTACGATGCTATTCAAAAGTAAAAGTCTGGTCAGAAGTGACACTGAAATTTCTAGAGTTAGAAGTGACCAAGGAGATATATATATTCTTTCACCTTTGTGACCAGGCTGCCTGAGACACAACCACAAGGATAAAACTGTGAATTTTGTTATAAGCAAGGGTCTAGAAAATGGACTCATACTGCTCAAGAAATGTGTGTTGTCTTGGGCAGAGGACAGAATTCAGGAGCGAGGGAATGATTTGACGAAATGGACACTGGGGACGGTATTACTGATGGCATCAAATGAGGGTTATATGTACTAAAAAAGACACATGTGAAAAGAAGGGGACTTTTTCAATGATGTTAATGTAATGTCTCATATTGTAAATACATCTACATATAGGTAGAGAGCATAATGTAACTACTACTTTTAATACAATCAGGTTATATTCAACGTTTGCATCAACGATCCACTTATAGTATAATAGTGAAACAACACATTATAATAATATGTCGCTACTTTATTACCCTCAAATTGAGCCTCAATCCAAATAAATCAATAAAAAAAACATTTAATTTCACTTACAGTATATAGATAAATCCTGGGCTGCATATAAACACTAGAGTTCCTATATGCAGTGGAATGTACCACTGTGTAAAAGTTTTGCTAGTATCCTCCCTCTACCACACTCCTCATGGTATAACCCAACAACATCTTATGCTGCTTTCAAGTCCTGTAGGAAATATCCTCAACCGTATGAGAGTGTTTCTATACTATTATTAACTTTGACCAAATAGACTGCAGTCAACCAAACATTTAATCAGAGATTGGACTATAAAAATGTCCTATTTTAACGTTGTGCTAGAAGAAAAGAAAGCTTTTCTAAATGTATAAAATGCTCTTTTAAATTCACAGTTTTTAATCGTCATTATTTTTTTGTATTTTGAAGATGAACTCTTTGACCGTTGTATAAATGTGCATTTCCACTGGAGGGAGATAATCATATTTACAACCAATGGTGTGAACCTGCTGAAGAACAGGAGCAGAACACACAACTATGATCATCTCCACCACTCAGCTGTGTTAAATTATCAAACCAATGTAGCCTATTAATAGTCAAGATGTTAACTAGAGAAAAGGTTTCTGGCCATGTTCCGCTTTTAGTTGTTTTGTAGCACTTGTGCAATGTAGGAGTCACAGTGGTGTGGAGCTTAGTTTCACTCCTACAATCCTTCAGCAGCCTCAGTTAGTTGGTCGGCTCTACTCTGCTGCATGATCAGACCTGTAAGAAAATGTGTTTAGCTGCTGTTCAAACAAGCTGAGAACTGCCCCATTGTTGCTTTAAGAGGAATGATCAAACAGTAAATAACAATAGTGGATTAATCAGTGGATAGAAAAATCTGCATACACTACCACATGATATTTTATAAGTAGTGTTGCTTTATTCTATTTTTAGCAAGCCTTTTTTTTCTAATCTGACAACAGGAAAATATTATTAAATGGATCAATTACTCTAACTAATTTAGATTTAGTTTTTCTATCTATCAATGAGCACTGTACCATTAACCTTAAAAATAAATTGACAGTGGTCCTGAACCTTATTACACTGTGTACACTGTGTCTACAGATGGGTTCATTGTATATAACATTTTACTAAATGTTATATCTAAAAGTATTCTTTGTGGTCCAAAATGTTGGGTCAGTTACTTTTTTCAAAAGTAATATTATTACTTTACTTATTACTCCCTGCCAACGGTAATATAGTTACACTACTAGTTTTATTACTTACAGAATTAGTCATTGTGTCCCTTCTCTCCAAAATTCAGACTTAAAACAAGTACAAAAGTTTCCATCTTCCAAACTAGTTTCCTCCACGATTACATAAATCAATCCAGGGATAGGTGGGGGGAGGTACCCACAAATGTAATGTTAATGTAACTAATATTATTACTGAAATGTATTAGTAATTAGTGACACTACTAGTTACTTGTGAAAATAATATGAGTTACTTCCCAAAACGTGACAACAGATCAAAAGCACAACTAATTTATTCAAACATTCATTCCAGCTTTTCAAATGTGAGGATTTGCTTTAACCTTTGAAGTCGTTATACCTTTAGCCTTTGGTCTATTTGTTATGGCCGTTTTTAGCCGATTTTTTTTGCAGCAGTGAGGAGCCGCAGGTTACGAGCTGTACTTGAACGCAGCATCAACACCGCGCTTGCTCACACGGATACACACGCAACCAGCAGCGGCGTCTGTTTGGGCTCAAACTAACGTGTTCCTCTACTTTGTATGTGTGTGTATGTGTGTGAGAGTGTGAGAGTGTGTGAACGGTATTGACGTTAAAGTTACACATAATACAAAACGGCCATGTTAGCGATGTTTCGGGGACCGGACCGCGGTCGGAGAGCCGACCGGAGGATGTAACGGCAGCTCCAGAGCCGTTGGGACTGCACGAGACAGCCTCGGTGTGAATACAAAAGGAACCGCCGAGGAGAAGAGACGATGGTGGGGAGAGCGGCGGCGGCGGCGGCGGCGGCAGGGGGAGCGGGTTTCTCATCCACACGAGTTTCAGCTCTCTGAAATCACTATTAACTTTTGTAAACTGGTTGGGGGAGTTTTAAAAACAAAGAAAATCCTCCAGCATGTCGGATCCAAGTCACTGGTCTGCGGTGCCGAGCCAGAATAAGTCCCATTTTGTTCCGGGAGCGTTGCTGAAGCGTTCAAAAAGGTAACGAGACCAAGAGTTGACATGTTAAGGTTTTATTTGGGCTTTTGTTGTGTTCACAAAGCACTAGTTTATGATGGTGTAAGGTCATTATGTTAAAATATTTCCAACAGCTCCTCTCTGTTGCTCTAATGTAAACGCTGGTTTAATCCTGTGTTTGGTTAATATAACACACACACACACACACACACACACACACAACATTTATGTTGATAAAGCCATTTTAGTGCCTTTTTAAATGCCCTAAAATGAATAATCTGAAAAGGTATACACAGCTCGCTTTGTTTAACTTGGATGTGATAATATAAAGTAACTATATGTGCAGCTGACATACAACTGTGTGGATGCACCACTGGAATTTAAATAAAGACACAAAATAAGGTCTTTTTATTTGAAGAAAAGCCTGTATTTGCCCTCCTCTGTTTGTATTGGTGGCTACTGGTGTGATGATAATTACTGACTGGAGGTCATAGATAATTGTTTGTCATGTTGACTGTTAGATGACTGGAGATAAAAACCTGCAGCTGTTCACTGTCTCATTGAGGCCACCACAGTGAATGGACTGACTTAGGGCTTGTTTATTGTGAACTAAAGGGAGCATCTAATGATTATGTTGATTTATCTGTCGATTATTCTTTTGATTAATAGTCTATCAGATGTCAAACGTGTAAGAAATGTACATTGCAATCTGCCAGAGCCCAAGGTAATGTCTTCATATAAAAACAGAGAAAAGCAGCAAAACCTCACATTTGAAAGGCTGGAAACTGCAAATATTTGATATTTTTGGGTTGCTGCTAACAATTATGGTACTTTCTAGATTAATCGTGTGCTCTATAAAACACCCATCACAATTGAAGGTCTTCAAATTCATTGTTTTGTCCAAAAAAACCTCAAAGCTGTTCAATTTATGGCCTATAAAACAGAAGAAAACTGCAAATATTGTCATTTGAGCAGCTGCAACCAGACTACGTTTGACAATTTTGCTTAGAAAATGACATAAATATATTAATTGATTATCAAAATAGTTGCTTATTTGTCCGTCAGTCTAATAATTGATCCACTGACTAATCATTTAAACTCTTTACCCACAGTAAAACCTGCTCAGTTGACTGTCATTGGTCAAAGTTTGCCCCTTCTTTTCATAAACAGAGGATTATTTAGCACTCCCTCCCTTGAGACACACACAGACACACACACACACACACACACACACACACACACACACACACACACACACACACACACACACACACACACACACACACACACACACACACACACACACACACACACACACACACACACACAGAGTCTTGGACATCTGTGGCTCAAGCTGGGCCTGCTGTTGCTGTTGGTGCACACACTCCCTTCAGCCTTGAGTCTGTTGACAGGAGGTTTCCTCTTTGTATTTTGGCTCTCGTCAGTTTTCCCTCTTCATCTGACACGGCTGTGCTGGTGTGTCACGCATCTGCCTGCAGATTAGAGTTGTAGTTACATAAACATTTCTCAAGGCAGAGCTGCTCTGAAGGCGGAAATAAATCTCATCGGTTGAGTTAAATCTCAGTGGGCAGAGACAAAGAAATCTCACTTCTTATAGCTCAGTATTATGAGCCTCATCTGTACGAGACCATGAAGTGATTTTCAGAAACTTTTGGTCCGCTTACAGTTGAAAATATGATCCTATCCGTCACACAAATGTGCTCCTTCTTCAACGCTCGTGGTGGGAATATGTTAAAGTTACAAATGTAATTCTGTGAATTCTGGATGGCCGTCAGAGACGTCTCCTATGGGATGTGCAGGAAGAGCAGGCTGATCTTATGAAGCCCTGATTTACTGTGTGAAAAACCTTCCAGTATCACTGAGTAGAGCTGAAAGGATTTTGTTGATTTATCAGTTAGTTGAACAGAAAAATACTCTGAAGGTCTTTTTGACAATGGATTAACAGTTTCAGTTGTTTTTCAAGCAAAAATAGTGAAAAATGGTGCACATTATCGGATACCAACTTCTCAAATGGAAAGATTTTCTGCTTGTTCTTTGACATAAAAAACATTATGGTTGATGAAAATCATTGTTCTGTGTGTTTCTTAGAGATTTTAATGCAAAAATGTTACATATTATAGCTTTTAAAATTAAAAAAGAAAGTTTAAATCAACTGAAACAAACAAACTTAACTTAAAGCTTTGTAGCTTTTCTCCAATCTCCTTTTGTGTAATCAGTAATGTCTACCATGTTATGTGAAATAAATACCTTTCTTCAAACTGAGCAATAAGAAGACCTGGACAAAAAATAAGAAACACTTTTCACTCACTCACTAGGTTTAGGTTTATTTGTATGATTTTTAAAAAATATGTAGTTAAGTGAGGATAGCAAACAATAGTACAGAAAAAAACTGGACATCCTCACATATTTCCACCGCTCCCGGTTCAGAACCAGATAACGTCCAGTTTGCACACAAACATGTCTGTGTTTTGGTGTTATTCAGGCTTATTCAGTATGTTAGAATAGTTCCAGCTTAGTAGATCACAGTCTGCTACTTTAGAGGTCAAGTATCTTCTTAATCTGTGCAATGTTACACTGCCTCAAGCTGCTGCTCAATACACACACACACACACACACACACACAAACACACACTTTTATATAAATACTTCCTGAAGCATGGCATGAGCCAAATGTGTAATTATAGGTAGATAAACCAAGGGCCAAATGACCACTTTTAGAAATAACCCAGGTTTATATACCTTCTAGATTGGCTTATTGTCCATCTGTACTCTGTTTAGTGATAAAAGGAACGCCACAATCATGCTCAATGCTAACATCTTAGCGGTGACACAGTGCTCTAAGTGACAGTTTCAGGTTTTTCATTCAACTTAGGTGAAGAGGTGAGAAAATTAACACTTTTAGTGGAGGCTGCTAGAAAAATGATGATGAGAGAGTAAAGCGATGTCGGTACGGCGGTGATAATGAATGTAACAAACAACCCGTATGGCAAAATAGCCTCGCATAGTTTACCCATGAGATCAATGGGAGGCTGTTAAGTCTGCGTCAAATTGATTGAGTGCCTTTATATTTTATATTTCCAATCAACACGCTGCTTAATGAATACCACAAACAACCTTTAATTACTAAGAGGCTTAGACTGAAACATAATTTAACTGCCTCACAAGTCATGAGTCACTAAATATTCAAACTACCATGTGAGACATTTTCATACACATTGTGACAAGAGATGCAGATGAGTGATGTGCGTTGAGGTTGGCAGACTGTTGACTCTTTGTCTTTCCCTGTTTGTGCTCCAGCTGTCGCAGCAGCAACAGGAAGAGCCTCGGTGTCGGAACGCCATCACCCACGCTGTCCCGGCCGCTCTCCCCGCTCTCACTCCACACTGGTAAGATCAGTTTCGACATTTGGTAACTTTTTTTAATCCCAACGAGTCTCGACAGGATCACTGCTGCACAGAAAGATGTTAGTTTTGGCTCTTGTTTAGCTGCAGTGTCTTTTAGCAACACACACCGCATTGGCCAATCAAATAGATGCCAATGCACAAGGCAGCTAAAATGCCTCGTGGCATTGTGCTCATTTACATTTAATCTAACTAGCACAGAGTCAAAGGAGAAAATGATTGCCGTCTTGATAGATTAACAGAGTTGTATGTAAAGTATAAACTGCAGTATGTTGTTTTGGCATTTGTCCACAACAACACCAACAGGAGGGACTCACCTGTGCTCTTCTGCATGTTCATACTGTTTAAGAACAGATTGAGATATTACTAAGTATCAGTCCAGACAGTCCGATATGTTGAGGTGCTTCTGTTGTTATTCGGTAACTTCCAAGATTAAATGGTATTGTTCTCACCTGACCAAACACTGGAGATGAAATTATGAGCTTAAAACAGGCATGATGTGAACACACACACTCAGTACTAGACCTAATTTTCATAGTTATTTAAATTACATTGAATGAACACATCACTGTTTCTCGTGTGCCGTGCTGCTGAGGTATCAGCTCCTCTCACATTATTGTGTGTAGCTGGAGGGCACCTTGCCCTGCCACATGGTCACTAATACAAGATTAAACTTCTTCAAGCCCTTACTTACCATAGCCGGTATCTGGTTGACTGGGTTTGTCGAATACAGTAGACAAGTACACAATGTGAAGTTGACAATAATGAAGCCTAAATGTAATTCCAGTACAGGATTGTGTGGTGTTGATTGATTAGGGTTAGAAGAGGTGGAGTGAATTGAATGTCATTGATGTACTGCAGATGGGAAATTGTTGTTGCAGAACATAAATGTGACATTATGAAGAAAGGTTAAAAACCATAACACTTCATTTTCATCACTTTTTCACTTCTCCTTCCACCAAACATCTTCCAGTCCCCAACAGATCCTACGTTTTTAGTAAAGGTTGAAAAAAATGTGAGAAGTTGCAATTAAATTAATTGAATTGAATTTTTCAAACATTTTAGGTTACAAATTTTGATTTGGGGATGTTGAGAACTGATATCAGATTGAAGAAATAGACGTGCAGAAAGTGCTAGGATAATTGAGGGGTGTGTAATTTCTAAATGGTTGGAGTCCTTCTGCTTTTTGAATCAATGATAGTACAGACTGCGTACAGCCCCTTAATGTCATAAAGCAGCTGCACTCTATGAAAAGAGTTTTGCTCAAGAGCTCCTCATAGCATCAGTATGTGGATGTGCTCCCTTTTGAACTCAATCATGCCGAGGATTATCTAATCACTGAGTGCAGTCAGGCTCTAATTGGGTCTCTCTCTTCTGTCCTAATTGGTACTCAGCCACTTGCATGTAAACGAACCACTGTCTCTAGTGTACCCAGACCTCCAGACTCTTGTGAGACCAAACTGGTGGAGGCTTCCCGCCTGAATTAGGAGTGTTCATAGATGGGTGCTGTAATGTTTGGAAAAGTAATACCATGATGATATATTGGACCTTTCTGAGGTGCTGCTTAATGCCGCTGGATTTTGCAATGATTAAAGGTTCCGTTCCTGCGTAGACATGATGTCATCCTTGTTTTAAAAAACATTTCCACTTGTGAACGCAACCATGTGGTCCCCTCTCGGTTCTATTTTCATAGGTTTATTATTACAGTTGTCAGTAGTACCCGTACTTACTTTTGTGTTTCCTCTTTCAGCCGCGAGCAGCCCTCTAGACAGCCCTCGAAATGTGTCGACCAGTGCCTGCCTCAACTTTCCGTTTGCCCGAAGGTATGTCAACACTGCTTTCTTGAATCCTTTAACACCCCCCCCCCCCCCCCAAGTGATATATTTGTTTTTTTTGTTTTGTCACATATGAAGGATGTCAGATTTTGGTGATTGTATTAAATTTAAACAGTTAAAAAGAAGGGTAAAACTTTTTTTCTTTTAAATTTTACTGATATGTAATTTTTTTCGAAAGTTTCCTGGAGACAGACAGATGTAATGTGGTACTAACTATAGGGTGAATAGGAATTTGCAATAGTATGCATACATTATTTGAAACGTTATTTTCCATATTTGTTATGTTATATTTAGTTAATTTTATTAAAAAAAGCTTCTTGGGAATTATTTTAAAATGTATATGAATATATATGAATAGAAGTTTCATCAAGACTTTCATGAAGGGATTTTAATCAAAGATATTCATTTGCTGTTTTGTGCATAAAGGAACACTGAAGTTTAATCATGTTTTTCAACCAACTGCAGCACAGTTTATTTTTTACCCAAAACTGCTCTTGAAGTGAGCGAGTGAGTACACAGAGAGGAGTATCATGAACTGGAAGTACTGGCTGCCATTTAATTATTTATTTCTCTGACATCTCTGCTAAAATAACATTTCAGAGCACTAATTTTTGGATTTGGTTTATTAAATCCTGTTGATGTTCCCAGAAAGATTTGGGCAGCCAGTTTAATTAAAATGACAGGAACTACAGTCAGTTTTGATTCCTGACTCTTTGTGTCTCTTGTTTACAAGCCCTGGATCTTTTGTAATTTGACAATGGTTACCCAAATGAACGAAATACAAATTCAAATTAAAAACCTCAATAATGAAATAAATCTACTGCGTGATCACACTCTGAGGGTTTCCTGTGACATTCGGTGTGTGTGTGTGCGTGTCTGTGCGCTGGGACAGAGGCAGACAGTCTGGAAGAGAAAACAGCAGCAAGGTGACTGAGGCTGACTCATCCTGGAGCGTTCGCACCTCTGCCAGGTCTTCTTACAGCCGACTCCTCCTCAGCAGCATGAGTGCAGTTAGATAGAGGGTACCCCCGAAACCCACTCACACATCATTCAACCAGGTTCCCATGGCAACACGCTTGTCTTGCTCCAGGCATGTGTAGCTTACAAGTCAGGCGGCACCTTGAAGACACCCAGGAACAGCCATTTAAAAACTCGTGAGCAGTTCAGGCGCTTTGTCCTTAAATACGACAGAAAAATGACGCCTACTCTGAGAAAATCAACGCTGGCATCTGTGTAAAGCACATACAGTATCTTACTATTAAGATGAGAGGGAATCTATGAATAAACCGTGACTCTTTAGACCTTATAACAAGTTCTGTGTCTGTTGTTCACGCTCCTATCTTATGACTGAATTCTACAGGCCAACATTATACCATATGATCATCTACTGTGCTGAGGGAAGTTACAATTAGTGACCCTGCTCATAGGTGCTTGAAACTCTTTATATGTGTTTACTGAGGCTCTTCAAGTTGAAACTTGTGATCATCTAATGATCAGTTCATTACTCATAGAGATAACCAGAGTAGATTCATGTTGATAAATAGTTGTTGTAATGCAGTTACAGCTTTTTAAGGACTGATTGGAGCTTTAATTTGTTGAAGTGGCCTTTTTAAAACAACATTTTGAGGTCGTCCTGGTGTCTTGAACATCATTGTTTAAGTTGCGCCAAATAGATTTAATTCTGAATGTTATGGTACTGTTGAAGCTTTTTTTTTTGGCTGTGTATTTCCTGTGGGAAATTCACAGGTTGCTCGCAAACAACATGCCAAATATTATAACACATAACCTTTTAGGTTTTTTTTTTTGTTGTTGGTTTTTTTGCTTCAGTTTTGGTGAGTGTGTTCCAAAATCCAAACTTAAGACTAGATCCTTTTTGCTGGTCTTGCTTTTGAAATGAAGATTTGTTTCTGTTATGTAAACTTGTATCTGGCCAAAATGAAAACTGGCAAGGCAGGCGACATTGTCAGTACTAATCCCTCAGCTGAATGCCAGGGGTCACAGGATCACTTGTGCACAATTCCCCAAAACTCACTGATACCACTTTTCTTTGCTTTTCTCTTTCTCTCTGTTGCTGTCGTGATGTCAGTCACCTGGCTCGCGCCGACAGGTAGCTTCTTTTTTTAAAATTCTTGCTCCATGTTTGTATCCCTTTTTAAAAGCTTGTGTATTATGTTTGTTTTGTTATGCGAAGGTATAGCTTTTTTTGCTTGTAAGCAGACTGAACTAAAGAGCTGCTGTGAATCAAGCGAGGACACAGAGAACCCTGTTATACATGATCTGGAAGAAAAAGACATTAATTTCATGCTCTCATAGTCACAGGACTCCTCTGTCGTCTGTTATGTAAGGAGTTTCACGTATGAAATGCTAACGAATTCCACTGCTGCTGAGGCTTATGTAACATGCATGTCCGTTTCTCTCAGGGCTGAGGGCCGGAGATGGTCCCTGGCATCTCTCCCCTCGTCTGGCTATGGAACCAACCCGCCAAGCTCCACTGTCTCAGTAAGTCATCCCAAAACATGGCACCGTCCTCCCTGGTTGATATATGGCGGCCAGGCAATTCTAACACCTCACTCAGCCCAAATAGCACATTCATGCTAATGCGAGCGAATGCCAAGCCTGAGATGACAAACCGTTAATTGTTTTCCTCCATCATCTGCTTGAATTAGTCATTCTCCCAGTCTGTGGAACTCAGTGTTAGAAGTAATACACACAGTCTGTGTATATGCATGTTAATGAGGAGATGAAGTAAAGTGTGTGTGTGCGTGCCCTTACTTTTTTAGTAATTAGATCACATAATTGAATTGAAATTATTTTATAACAACTTTTCAACAAAACTTCACATCACACATTTGTCACATCAACAATTTACTTTATATTATTTATCACTTGTCATAATTATGTTATCTTGGCCTTATCCGATGTTTTTTAAGTATAGTAAGTAAAGTAGGTATGAAATACTGAGCTTTTTTGGAGGATCAATGTAAAAACGGTATAGTGTTTTTCAAGCCAGAAACGTACTTAAAGTGGGCGCTCAGAATATTATATGTCAGATATATTACTATCGAATGAAGCTGTAGTTGTGCTGTATTGACACAGTGACGTAAACAGCATTCAAATGAACAGTTTGCAGAGGGGGGGAAGAGTGTGCTGCTAAGTCTGTGGCAGGGTCTGCCATGTGCAGCTATTATAAGGAAGTTTATTGGGTAGACGCAGGCAGAGGCCCAGAGGTCAATTTGGACAATAGGGCTCTTCAGTGGCCCTCACTGCCCCCTTTATACTGTGGCATTAGACAGAGACTTCACAGATGCTGTCCCTCTAGACCTCTTCTGTTCAGGACACATGGTCCGCAAAATTAAACAGATTGCCAGCATCGCACACCGTGTCCCGTTCAGTGTGGAAAGAGTTTACTCAGCGCCTCGCGTGGAACATAATTTATTTGCGTGAAAATTGATGCCTCTGTGGGCTTCATTATTGTTTACTTCAGTACCTGAAGAAATACATTAATTATTGGCTGGAAAGGTGTTAAGTAAATTTTTCACTCTTTGTCTGCTATTCATACACCAGCTAAAGTGTGCACAAAGCTGCTGTCGTCATAAACTAAAAAGTAAATATAAATCAGTGAATGGAATATTCCCAACAGCCAAATGTTGTTTTAAAGGTGCCGTATGAAGTAATTTAATATCAGTAAATTACCACACTTGACACTTGATACTGAAAATAATCAGTATCAAATCAAATGATTTAAGAGGCACATGCTCCAATTTGAAGCAAACTCACAAGACAGGAGCCAAACATAACTTTATTGCTGTTGCAGCACTGAAAGTACCTAGTAGTAAATACTACATTTAGGACCTTTTTAAAATTGTCTTTGGCTTCACTTGATCTTGTTAATAATCCACTACGGCGACCAAGGCTGGTTTAGTTCAGTCAGTGTAGGAAGTTGTTAGTCTTTTGAACATGTGTTACATCCCAATATCTGTATGAGGCCTTTTGTGTTTTAAGGACTATTAAAAAAATGAGGTGTGCAAGCAGTATTCAATAGTCAATTATTTGTCTTTTTCTGTTGATAAAAGATCAATGTCAAATAGTTTTCTATTGTCAACCAGATATGGCTGACTTGTGGGCCTAAATTCGTCTATTTAGTATATAACTAACAGTTAGGTATTAGTAGCCACACTTGAGTCTTTATTAGATAAATGACTAAATCATTCAGTATTGTTATCAAAACAATTCCCAGGTTTGGCTGTGGAGATGCTATATATACCTTATTTCTCTGATCTAAGCTTCTGGTTTCTTTCGTCTCCTTTGTCAATAAATATCTTTAAATATCTCTATCAATAAATTGTCTTTAATATCTTTGGGTTGTTGACAAAACAACATATTTGAGAAAAGTGATCAACATTTTTCACAATTTTCCGACATTTTATGGAAAACAACTAATTAAATCAAGAAAATGATCAACAGATCTATCTATCTATCTATCTATCTATCTATCTATCTATCTATATCTCTATATATATATATATATATATATATAGAGATATAGATATATAGGCGTCAGCCGTAGATGAATGTGAAGCTTTTAACTTGTTGAATGAATGACTGATGGATCCTTCTTTGTGTCTGCAGTCCTCCTCGTCCTCCCAGGAGCGCCTTCACCAGCTTCCCTACCAGCCGACACAAGATGAGCTGCACTTCCTCTTCAAACACTTCCGCAGCACAGACAGCATGACTGATGAGGACGGACGGCCCTCAACGGTCATACGACCTCGTTCTCGCAGCCTCAGGTAGCGGGACCTGACTTTACCTTGCATTGAAATAGATTGTCATTCTATACTGTTACATATTCATTTTAGGAAACACGTTTTAGAAGGTTAATACTGCTCAGTAGATCAAGTATTTAGACGATTACATCTTCTCTGTGTGGGAAGTGTGGGATAGACACTTGACGCTGATATTTTTATAGATAATATTGTAGAAGGACATTGCAAAAGTGTCACCTCATTTTTAAGGATTGCCATCATGAATTTGAATTAACCTCGGAGAGACTGTTCATTTTTACCTGGTCTTATTACAGAATTTTACTATTTAAATTGTCTATTCTTACGCCATAGATCCAGTGAGATGAGTGTTGGTGGGTTAAACTTGTTCATCACTTGTATATTCCCATCAAAACCACTTTACAGCCCAGTCTGAACTGAGTCTAAACATCTGTTTTATGTTATGTCTTGGCCTGTCATTAAACTAATGAAAGTAATATTTTATACAGATTAAATGCATTAATCCTTCCTAAGGGATTAACTATCTGTTTGTTGCGGAAAACAACATTTTAGATTAACTTTGGACAGCGATTGCGTGTTTTGCACTCTCTTCAGTGTCGGTATGTACTGGTAGACCGTCAGATGTCTGTGCATCGGTATGACCAAGACAAATTCACAAGTAAACACAGCATTTGGTGTCTCAAATGCCTCGGATTGATTACACATGCCTGTTGGCCGGCAGGCAGGTGGAGATCTGACTACAGAGCTGTGTGGTTTTGACAACTTTTGTCTGTTGGCTCTGCTCTGCACTGTTTGTGCGATGCCTGAGTGCTCTGTGTTCTGGCACCATGGTGTGCTGTGCGTGGGCATGCTAGCTAACAGAGCGCCTGAGGGATCTAGTTGCTGAACTGTAGTCGAGGGTGGGGGGTGGTTTAGGGGGTGGGGGGCTTGATGCAGAGAGCCACAGTGAGCTGCAGCAGTGTGTGTTGGGCAGCAGCCATCCAGTCTAACAGAGGCGTCTTTCATGACAAAAAAATGGCTTAGGGAGCCTGTTTGCATGTGATAGGTTTTCCCTCCATCTGTTCTGTTTGAAGCTTCATCAAGCAAGGTTTTCTGTTAAAAATACACCCGTCTTACGGCCTTAATACTGAGGTGGTGTTGCAGTAAATGACTAATTGAGCGATGTTGGTGATTCACACAGTTTGGCCAGAAGAAACCTCTGCTGTCGGTGTAGAAACATCAAAACCTGACAGTGAAATCCACAGTGATTGTAGCTTTACCAGCTTAAGAGCTGCTGAAAACGAATGTTGGCTCACAATATTGCTTTTGGCAGGTTGAGATCAAAAGTACAAGTGTAGACGTTGACCTCAAAAAGCCTCTCTCAGTCAAACCCAAACTGTGAGGTTAGAGTTGACGTGTTTTGGGTGGGCTGAACTGAATCGACTTTTGGTCATCTCTAGATAACTGTGATGGCTTCGATGACGTAACCATGTTCACACGCAACCTAGCTTAATGGCTCAGAGGAGAATTGTATTTGATTGTGTATTGGTAAAAATCTAAGTGCCTTTGTTTGTCAATTAAAATATGACTAATCTGTTGTTTTGTTTCTGTTGCAGCCCCGGGCGATCGAGTGTCTCCTTTGATAATGAGATTGTCATGATGAACCATGTTTACAGAGAACGTTTTCCAAAGGTATGTACTAGACATTTGCAGCAAAGACTGAGACAGAGACTGTACAGAGATTGTACATTGCTACTTTTTCAGTTTGTTGAATACGTGTCCCATCTTAACAAAACATTTGATTGGTAATCCACTTGAACGACGTAGAAGAATACTGTAGACATAGTGAAATCTTAAAAGTCAGTAGGTAGGGGCTGTTACTGTTTAAAAACAGAGTATAGGACGGAAACTCAGTCTTGAAAGCCACAAATCCCAGCAGGTGGCTAAGTGATCTCTGGTTCAACAACCATATGAATCCACCCACAGAAATATTACGGACATTTGGTGCTGCGGAGAGTAAAAAAAAAAAAAATCATAATTATTGGTCCCTTTAAATGCCTTAACTGTGTGTTTGTGTGCTTTCCTGCAGGCCACAGCCCAGATGGAGGAGCGCTTGTTGGAGATTATCACCCACTGCTCTCCAGACAGCTCCCTCCCGTTGGCTGACGGGCTGCTGGGCTTCATCCAGCACCAGTTAGTCGAGCTGGTCAGAGACTGTCTGGACAAGTCCCAGAAAGGCCTGGTTACTTCCCCCTACTTCGCTGAGCTGCAGGAGAAGCTGGATAAGCTGCTTCATGAGGTTAGAAAACAGCCATGTTCAAATGATTTGGTTTTTAGTAAAAAAAAAAAAAAAGAACTTACTTGGATACTACAGCTTTAAGCATCAGCAGATGAGCTACTACATGTGAACTCTTCATCTGGACACTCAGATGTGATGATGTTATGAAAGGGGATTGATCGAGCCAGGGTTGAAATGTGCAATCAGGCGCGTCACTCAATAACCGTCTGATAGCCAAAGGCACACGCAATAGATCTGGTAGTGGGAATAGTCAGTGATGGTGAGAGGTGCTTTTGTCATAGATCTTATCCGTGTTGTGATAAAATGTTAGTTTCTATAGCAACCTCTTCCACTGTTCTCTGCATGCTGTCAGACAGAAGGCATGGCCAACTCGCTGTACCTCCAGCTGAACTGATAAGTCTGTTCCCATACAGTGGAACAAATGCTGCCTCTCTCTCACACACACACACACACACACACACACACACACACACACACACACACACACACACACACACAAACCTGAAGTTTGTTAAAAAGTTTCAGAGATAAAATTACATTTTTAGTCATCTAAGTTCTCTGTGCTTGTTTATTTGTGATTTGATGTACGTGGTGACAAATTACTTTTAGTTCCCGAAAGCGGTAGCATTTTTATTTTAAACTCTTATGATCTCTTATGAAATAGCCAAATGTTTTTTTTACTTTTGGCATCAAAGATAGGAAAACAAAACCTCTTATGCACTGCCTTCTGATTTTTTCAACAAAAGTAGCTTTATGAAGAACATTTTGATAATGTACATAAGCTTTTAATTTATTGGTCAACCAGTTATTGTCTACATGCCTGTTACCTCAGCTGCTTTCCTCAAGTGTGCAACAGCTCTACTGTTTGACCTTTACTCGTTACCATGAATAGTGAATATTTTAGACAAGAGAACATCCAAAATTGTAGATGATCTGTGGGAATTGTATCACAGAAAGAGTGCTTAGCACATAGTTTATCTCTTAACCCAGCGGACTAAACGTTTAGTTAACATGAAGAGGATTCTGTGTTTTCACAAGAAGGACACACGCGGCTGTTTGAGGATTTGGCCTTGTGGTTTCTAATAACAATACTGTATTTCACAAACACACACCCACACACACACACACATTGTGACATTCACATTGGATTATGGGTCTGGCATGACCTGAGGGTAAGGCACATAAACTCACATGTGTAGACCATGGTTGTCTCAACCACTGGGAACTTTGGAGAAAGTTAAAGGAATAGTTTGACATTTTAGAGGCGCTTTTAGGCAGATTTTGTTTACTTTGGACACAGCCCGGCTAGCTGTTCCCCCCTGTTTCCAGTCTTTATGCTAAGCTAAGATAATCAACTGCTGACTGTAGCTTTGTATTTAACCGACAGATTAGAGTAGTATCAATCCAGTTTCCAGGGTGTATGCAGCCACTGTTTCACTAATACAGACTGTCACTCCAGCCAACTACAAGAAAGTCTGTGGATGACTCATTAAGACTCCACCCACCCACCTAGTGGTTATTTTGATTCTTCTTGGTTGAAAGTGATGTCTTCTCTGATGCAAGTAAGCTGTGCTTCTGCAAGAATCTTTTGGTTTGGTTTGGGTGGAGGAAGTAGCACTAGGGGTAGAAAGGTTCCCCATCCCCCCTTTTGATAAAAGATTTTACACTCACAATTAAGCCCTGATGACAAATGAGGTTTACATACATTTTGCAAAAAAAAGGTTCATAAAATAGAGACATGTCTTATTATATAAAAAGTTGTGTGGACATTAGACAGAGAAATTCTTCTGAACATTTTTTTAATTATCCAAGATGTATGCCATCTTTTCTCCCATTTCTCAAAATATGACAACATGGAAATAACCATTTTCCCTTTTCTTTTTTACTATTGTTTCTCTTTATATCACAGAAGAATGTTATTTACAATTTATTTTTGAGAATTTTATTAAAATATACCTCCACAGTATAACAAATGCAAAAACTGAAGGGAAAGTTTTACCCATTGTAGCACTATTAGTGTCTTAATATTTAGTTTTTCAACATCACCCATACCTATTTGCTTGTTTTTTGTTGATCTTGTTGATTTTTATTTGTGTTGATGTGTTATGTCAGTTCGTCAAGGTTACTGCATAAATAAAGTTGACATTTTGTTGCCCCTGCTCCCATACTGTTTTCCAGGCCTACGACCGCTCTGAAAGCGAGGAGGTAACCGTCATCATCCAGCTGGTGAGGAAGATCCTCATCATAATCTCTCGGCCCGCTCGCCTCCTGGAGTGTCTGGTAAGCTGAGGAGGAGAAAATCTCTTCCTAATTGAAAATGAGATTACTCTGAATGAACTGAGTAGAATTCAGTTCATGATAAAGTAGGACTGAAATGAGTTTCTGACCTTTATTAGAAAGCGGATGTCTGTCACCAGAACCTGAAGCTGATGCTCTTTACAGGAAGACAGTATTACTAAAAAGATTCTACATGGCTAAATGTCAACAAAGTCACATTTTTCTTTGTGATGTGGGTGAAAACCCTTTTAAATCACTCAAAGACAAACCCAGTATAACGAGTATATTTATGTTAGGTTTTTCTTTTATTTCTGTACATCGGTGTGAGATAAAATAATTGTCAGGTTTTAGCTGTGATAGGTCAAAAACCTTGTAGTATTAGAAACTGACTATTAAAATGCTAACTTTATCTAACATTACTAACCTCTTGATGCCTACGATTAGTCTGAGTACAGGTCCAACTAGGAGTATTATTGGTCATCCAGGTAACAGGCTAACTACGTAAAAAGGGTGACTGGACTTAAAGCCTCTTGGATGAGAAGCTGAATGTCTTTGAGACCGCGACTGCTTTTGAGATGCAGATTAAGCACTTCCTTATTGTTGTTTCCTTGTTGGTTTGACTTCAGTCTGTCACATTAATGAGACTACTGTTCACAGGAGTTTGACCCAGAAGAGTTTTATCACTTGCTTGAGGCAGCAGAGGGTCATGCCAAAGTCGGCCGGGGAATCAAGACGGACATCCCACGGTACATCATCAGCCAGCTGGGTCTGACACGAGACCCATTAGAAGGTAAAGCTCTGTCATAAAGGGAAGGTGTAACAGAAATGTGTTTAAAACATGCTAGTCCTGTCTTTAATTGTTGTTACTCTGTGCTTTTGTTCTTTTTAATGTGACTTCATACTGGTATAGAATTTGGCTAACATCATAGTAAAGGCCTTTGTGAACAAAAAAATATATTAACTGCAGCAGTTCTGACTGGGGCAAGAAGTTGTGTAGTGTGAATGTAGCCTGAAATTCAGGTTGGTTCAGGTTCAGGTTTTTAAAAAAAAAACCCATTAAAGTTAATTTGCCACATAAGCACGCTGTAGTCGAGCCAGTTTCTGTACAGCTACATAACATTTACAACACAATCCAACCCTCATGTGGTCTAACATAACACAGCCTTCACGGGGAAAGTCCCTAACAGTGTGTGAAATAAGAGTGTCATAGTTGGGGGAGGAATGGTTAATGGTGGGAGTTGAAGATTCTTTGCAGTAACATTAAACTCTGCCTGTCTGTCTCTGTTCTTTCTAGACATGGTACAGCTTGAACATTATGATCACAGTCCGTCAGTGCCCGTGGAACCTGATGCTAATGTGGAGGTAAACTTTCACTTTTAAGATTACTAACTACCTGTAGGTGTGCACAGCATTTTATATAGTAAGAGGATATGGTTTCAGATTAAAAATTAAGAATGGATGCTTTTCTTCAAACATGGTTTTTTAGACACCTCTGAGTGGTGTACTAAAAGTGTCTCCAGAGGATCAGGACATTTGATTTTTTTGGGTGGTTTCCAGTGACCCATTTTAGTGTGAAAAGATACCATAAATATTTTAAATCGGAGTGTTCTTTTCGCTTTTCGTTCAGGCTACAGGAAGCCAAGACATGTTTAACGTGAGAATAAATCTCAAAATTGCTCTGAAATATTTGACTACGAATTAATGAAAACATTTGTTACGGTAGTATCCTAACAAATATTGAATTTAAGTCTGGTCTGTTTTATTTATATTACCCCATAACCCAGATTCAGACATATGGACAAAGGTGAAAACCATGCATTCAGTAATAAACTACAATTTGGTGCACAGTATACTTCATGTAGCAGACTGCAGAACAGGCCCTGAAACATTAATTATACTTTAATTCTACTATTGTATTGCTTCTACTGTGTTTCAGTATTTTTAAATTGCCCATGAACAGCCACTAGCATCATGTTTCTGCTTCCTCTATAGAATAAAGCCCCACAGACGCTGACACCAACTCGAAGGAAACCTCTTGAGAGTGACTTTGAAACAATCAAACTCATCAGTAATGGAGCTTATGGGTAAGACTTTCTTGGCATCGTTCAAAGATTTGTGGTAAACCTTTTTATGTTTTGAAACCAAGAGCTACAAAAGAAGGCACCTTTTGATTCCTTGCTGGAAATATATCACTGAATGTCCTTGAAAATATACTCCACTGTGGATGATTATTATTATACTCTGTTTAATTATCTTGTCAGAAACTAATTACCTCCTTTTCAAACACGTAGAATATCGAACTAATTACACAGCCAAATGTTGCCGTATTTTGTGACAGAAAACTGCTCACAGAGTGCTGGAGTTGCCCCCACTACCCCACGCAAGAAAGGCAGTAAGAGAAGAGTGCCAAAATTTCATTGAAATGCGATCCTCTTTGGCTAGAATGGAGGCTGTGGTTTGATCAAGGCAGCTTCATGCCGAAATATTCTATCTATGCAGTCATGGGTTGATTGAGAATAAAGTGAAGGGAATTTTATCTCTCAGAAGTTACACTTGTATTTAAAAATATCAGGAGGTAGCCAGTGAAAAAATCTCCCAAACTACAACCCCTTGTCTTTGTACACATTTATCTTGAACCTTTTTTACAGTTTAGTGTGAAGATAATGGGTCTAATGTGGCGCATATGGTTTTTGACAGGGCTGTATACCTGGTCCGCCACAAGGAGACACGCCAACGGTTTGCCATGAAAAAGATAAATCGTCAGAACCTGGTCCTGAGGAACCAGATCCAGCAGGCTTTTGTTGAGCGGGACATCCTAACTTTTGCTGAGAACCCCTTTGTTGTCTCCATGTTCTGCTCTTTTGAGACGCGACGACACCTCTGCATGGTCATGGAGTATGTGGAAGGTAAAGTAGTTCTGATTTATGTTTGCCATTTAGACACTTGGCTCTGTCTAATCTAAAGCGGTTCATTGTACCTTGTAATGTACAATGAAGAAATAATTAGTATTCCAGGCAACAGAAAAATAACACAAAGCATATTGTTTTCTGTTTTTCTGGTACATTTAGGTGGAGATTGTGCCAACCTGCTCAAGAACATGGGCCCATTGCCTGTAGAAATGACAAGGATGTACTTTGCTGAAACAGTCCTTGCCCTGGAGTACCTTCACAACTATGGCATAGTGCACCGGGATCTCAAACCTGACAAGTGAGAACAAAAAAAAGAGCTCCCACTTCACTCCTGTTTTGCATAAGAACAACACTGTGTGTACAAGATGTAGTGAGTATGACCCAGCTGTGACCCAGTACTCTGGGTTTCATTATGATGAATCATATTAAACCTTAAAGTCACCTCCCACTCAAAACTATGTTTTTCTTTTTGTTCCTACAGTAGGATGTTTGAGCTTTACTGTGCAGAATTATATATATGTACAGAGTTTGACACTAGAAGGATGTTTAAATAATAATAATAATACATTTATTTTATATAGCGCTTTAAAAGGTATAAAAACAACTACTATAACTATAAATTATCTGCTGAAAGTGGAAAGTTTCTCTGTGCACATTAAAAATCAATCTGGATTCAGGAAAATTCATAGATTCTGGATTTTAATGAGGTCGAAGGAATAGATGTCTTTTGGGGATGAGAGAGAGAGAGAGAGAGCGGAGGGGATCTCTTAAATTACTAAAAAATACTTGGTCTGTTCTGTGATTATGCACATCGAGTCCCTTTTATATTGCAATCTGGCATTTGCTTGCAGAATTTGGCAAAAGTATTGACCATTCAAAAGTAAAATACACTTTGAGGTAATAACTTTTTTTTTTTCTTCTTTCCCCACCTTACAGTTTGTTGATTACATCCATGGGCCACATCAAGCTGACGGACTTTGGCCTGTCTAAAATCGGCCTGATGAACATGACCACCAACCTGTACGAGGGTCACATGGAGAAAGACACAAGAGAGTTTGTTGACAAACAGGTGAGACTCTTCTGAAACATCTCCATGTGAGACAAATAAAACTAATTGGCTACAGCAGTGCTTATGTAAGCAGTTGTTTCTGTTCCCCTAAACTCACCTGTGTTGGTCTGCTTGTGCAGGTGTGTGGCACTCCAGAGTACATCGCCCCAGAGGTGATCCTCAGGCAGGGCTATGGAAAGCCAGTGGACTGGTGGGCGATGGGGATCATACTCTATGAATTCCTGGTCGGATGTGTTCCGTTCTTTGGAGACACACCTGAAGAGCTTTTTGGACAAGTTGTCAGTGGTGAGCAGCAAAGTGAGATAAATTATTAGAAGAAGTAGAGGAGCTGTTTTCTTATGTCGTTTCCAAATCCTTGTAAGCATAAATTTACATCTTGGTATAATCTCATTTGTTGTCAAACTCTACTTACAAAACAGTACCTTGCATTATAGATAGAATAATGATATAAACTGTACTGAGTTTTGAGCACTGCGACACTATCAGATGATATGTTGTAGATATTTTGTGCTTTTATTTGTGATCGTCAGTACAGCTTGTTTTTCTGTTTTTGGCAGATGAAATCATATGGCCAGAAGGAGACGATGCCTTACCTTCTGATGCCCAGGACCTGATCACCCGCTTGCTCAGACAGAGTCCTTTAGACCGACTGGGAACTGGTAATGCTCAGTTTGCTGCTGATTAACACATGACAAAAGCTGCAGATGGTGTTTGATACAGGCTGATACTGAAAAATGAGGGGGTTTTCTTTCAATCCTAAAGATTTTGTAGAAAGTGGAAAATTAAAATGGTGACTTTTGCCTAAACATAATTATAACATTCTTGAAGCCAGAATTTAAAATAATAATAATAATTATTATTTTAGGCTTTGTATTAAATACATTTTTTGTTTTTAAAACTTTATCCAGTATTTCATTGGCTGTGAAAACTGTGTTGTTATAGGTGGCGCCTCAGAGGTCAAACAGCACCCCTTCTTTCTGGGTTTTGACTGGAATGGACTCCTGAGGCAGAAAGCTGAATTCATCCCTCAGTTGGAGGCGGAGGACGACACCAGTTACTTTGACAGTAGGTTACAATTGAGATTATATCAACTTTATTCTAATCAGTGCTGACTTCAGAGTGTGTTTTCTCCTACCTTAAACCTAATAACTGTATCTACTGCTGTGACAGCAAAGTACAGCATATTTTATGGATGTTTAAGACCTCTCTTGTGATATATAAATGTCCAGCATAACAATTGACAAAACAGAAACTTGTATAACACTGTCTTCTCTTCCTGTTTTCAGCTCGTTCAGAGCGTTACCATCATTTGGCATCTGACGAGGATGAGGAAACAAATGATGAAGAGTCTTCCTTGGAAATCAAACAGTTTTCTTCCTGGTCGCATCGCTTCAGCAAGGTATGGACTACATGTGTTGGAAGACAAGAGCTTTGGAGTTTCAAAAAGTGTTCAGCCCTTTGAGGAATTTGTTAGAAAATATTTCTATGGATGTTTATTTACTTACGGTATTTTCTCATAATTGAAGGACACATGTTGTCATTGAGTAAAAGGTAACTATTGCCAAGCTGTCCAACTGTGTTATGCGTTATTAATTAGCCCAGTTGTACTACAGTTGTACCTGTACTGGACAGTCATAATAAAATTGTTTTTAACCAACAAACTGACTGCTCAGTGTGTGGAAAATGTGCATAAACAAATTCATTTGTGCTTAAGATGATGAAATTATCCGTTTTCAGACTAAAACAGCAGAGAAGTAAACCGTGTCTGTTCAGTGCTCTCGGGTTAAGTCACATGTTTACCAAAGAGTAGAGGGCCTCGAGTGTGTCAGCTAGACTGTTACATCATCTGGAAGCTCTTCAGTAATCCTCCCTCTATTTCACACCGACTCTCCTATTCGACCTTTTAGGTTTACAGCAGCACAGAACATCTGGCGACACCGTCGAACCTGAGTTTCTCCTCTGACCGCAGCCACAGTGAGGACAAGGAGGACCGCGGGGACATAGGAGGACTCAGTCCTTCCCCGAGCCCAGCAGAGGGCAGCGTGGAGCGCAGGCATGCTGGACGTATGGCCAGGTAGGCTGATTTTATTCCTGTCATATCTTTTTGGGGTTAAGTTAAGGTCATCTTTGTGTTGATTTCTTGTTTTGTTTAGCTCTTTGTTGCCAGGTTACATGTAGAATTGCTGCCAAAAAACCCTATGAAATTAATGGGTAACCTGTCTTATAAATTAAGAATTCTCTTCTATCTGTAAAAGCAGCAAGCAATGAAAACACAGTGTTGGTGAGTTGTGTGATCACTTGGACTCTTGATCTAGTTGATTTACCCGTCCGACTGGTCTTTGTCTGTTTGTAGCCTTCGCCCTCGGGCCTCTTCCAGCTCCTCCCAGTCTGAGAGGAGCACCAGTCCTCTGGTGATGAGCAGCACCCATAGCCTGGAGACGATGCCCCGCTTTGCCCTCTCCACGGATGATGAAGGTAAATCCAGACTGACGGTGATGTTTTTGACATTTCTGTATTAACATGTATCAGTGCTACTATTAGAGGCACGAACAGTGAGCATATTTACATGTTTTTTACCTTTTTAACCTTTCTTACCCGCAGCTGAGGTGGTTGTGTCAAACCTTCGGAGGATCAGGATTCGAAGCAACAGCACTGGGGCTAAACACTCCTCCCCCAAGGACCCAGCCGGCCCTCGACGCTTCGGTAACCAGCTGGAGACACCGGACCGACAGAGGCTTCCCTGCGGAGGGAAGGTTCCCAAGTCAGCCTCTGTCTCAGCCCTGTCTCTCATCATCACTACAGGTAGAGAAGGTTCTCATCAACACCTCAAGGTCAAGCAGAAGACAGAATGAACGTGACAATGAGCCACTTGTGCTAAGTGCTGCACGAAGTGATAACACCTTTGCTGCTACAATCTGTGATTCATGTGGAATCAAAAAGTTAGATGCGTCACCAACAAAATCCAAGCTTGTAATACCTTCTAATATTTGTAATCGTGGAAGTAAAACAACCCTGTACTTAGAACGCCATAAAGAAAGTAACTGAGTACTGTACTGAAACTCTATACTTCAAATTTATATGGTTAGAAATATTTACAAAAACAATAACTGACAAATATTCATGGCTCAATTTACTATTTACATGTTATTTACACAACTGCGACTTTTCATAAAAACCCTTTCTGAGGCAGGAAGCTCTGAATTATTCTGTTAATTAAGAGGAAAATGGGCCCGTGTTTGTTTCAGATGACTCGCCCGGTGGCCTCCAGCCCAGTCCCATCTCCCCACGCTCCCTGTCCTCCAACCCTTCGTCCCGCGACTCCTCCCCCAGCCGGGACCTGTCGCTCAGCCCCGGCAGCCTGAGGCCTCCCATTGTCATCCACACCTCAGGGAAGAAGTATGGCTTCACCCTGCAGGCAATCCGAGTCTACATGGGCGACAGTGACGTCTACACAGTGCATCACATGGTGTCGGTGGGTGTCACTACAAGATTTAAATCTCCTGTCTGTCACATAGTTAACTAGTCCTTGTTTTAAATGTCATGTGTCCATGTCAAGTAATGTGCTTTACTCTGATGACACTAAACCAGAAGAGCGAGGTATAAAAAGCTGGTTATGTAACGCTCAAATAAAACTCTCCCCACTCTCACTGTGTTGCTGTTTTAACAGAGTGTGGAGGAGGGCAGTCCGGCTCACCAGGCTGGTCTCTGCACTGGAGACCTTATCACCCACGTGAATGGAGAGTCTGTCCAAGGCCTGGTCCACCCTGAGATGATAGAATTACTACTGAAGGTACAGCAACTCACTCAGACTGCTGTGGCAGGTTATCGTCATGTGTTCGGGTTGATATTCAGTTTAAGCTGCATTTTGCATTAATCATTCTATGCTCCCTATGAAATGTACAGAGTGGCAGCAAGGTGGCGCTTCAGACCATAGCACTTGAGAACACGTCAATCAAAGTGGGTCCTGCTCGAAAGACCAAACACAAAGGCAAGATGGCTCGTCGCAGCAAGAAGAGCAAGAGGAGAGATAATTACGACAGGTGAGAATCCGAGGTTTGGTTTTCTGCTGGTCCCTGCAGCTCTGCAGTGTTACTCATCGTTTGTTTACTCTGTGAGGTCTTCAGAAAGACGAACCTGCACCAACCTGCAAAAGGCTCAGTCTCCCTCTAGTGTTGGATGCCTATAAGTAGAGTTTAGTAGCAGCTTACATTACAGTCACTGAACGGTATGTTCTGTTGTACTGGTGAATATTTTCCCTCAACATTTATGTCAGTGCAGCGTTTGTACTTTATTTTTAAGAATTTAATATTTTGAAAATGTATATGGTTTTATTGTTATTTAAATGTATACAAAAAACGTGGACTTAGTAGTTCTGTGTATTCTTTAAAAACAGAAGAAATAAAAAGCAGTCAATCAATTTAAAAATTCAAGATGCGTTTTGATGTTGTGATAAAAACACAATAAACATCACAATATTCACAGGCCATCAGAATATCCCCCTAGTGCCACTGCTCTGACTACTGTACACAATATCGCGTGTGACTCTTCTTCTCTTCTTCCTCCAGGCGAAGAAGCATTTTGAAGAAGTTGTCCAAGCAGAGCACAGTGATGCACAGCAGTCGCAGCTTCTCCTCAGGTCTCCACCACTCAGTTTCTTCTAGCGAGAGTCTACCAGGCTCCCCGACACACAGCCTGTCTCCCGGCCCCTCCACACCCTGCCGGAGCCCAGCTCCCGACCATCAGGCCTTTGGTGAGCTCAGTGTGGCTTCAGAATTATACAAGATGATGGTGGCATTGTGAGCATCTTTTAGAAACCTGGCTCTGCAACCTATGATGTACAATATTTGAAACTGTTTTTCCTCTGCTTCCCAGACAATAACTCCCCTCAGAGCACATCTCCTTGCTCCAGCTCTCCCAGTTCTCCCGCTGCACACATCCGGCCCAGCTCTCTCCACGGCCTGGGCTCCAAACTCAGCACGCAGCGCTACACCAAGGTGGGCCGCCGGAAGTCAACCAGCAACATCCCCCCCTCACCCCTGGCCTGCAACTCCTCCTCATCTTCCACCCAGCCTCTCTCTCCACAGCGCTCTCCTTCTCCGCTCTCAGGCTTCGCCAAAACCCTTCACACTTACCATGGCAAAACCCTGTCCCCACCCACAATCGTCAGACACATTGTCCGGCCCCGCAGCGCTGAGCCACCTCGATCTCCTCTGCTGAAGAGGGTACAGTCAGCTGAGAAGCTGTCTGGTGTGTATCATGCTGATAAGAAGTCGTACGCCCCCCGCAGGCACACGCTGGAAGTGCCGTTTTACGGTGAGGGTGACCTGCTGGGTGACTCGGAGGCAGACGGTGCCTGCGGAAGCTCCTACATTGGGGCTGATCACAGCAGGCTCGGGGGATACATTTGCAGCCAGAGGATGAGGGACTCTGGGATTGAACGATCAGAGCAGCTGGTCGTGATGCGAAAGCTCAACCTATCAGAGCGGCGGGACTCCTTTAAGAAACAGGAGGCGGTGCAGGAGGTGAGCTTTGACGAGCCAGAGGAGAAAACCAGCACCACGGTCACAGTGACCACCACAGCTGCAGGAGCCCAAACACAACATCAGCAGCAGCAGCACAGGATGGCCTGGATGCTCACTAGACCACAAACCAGCGAGGAGGTGGAGCTGGAAGTGCCGGTGGTGAGGAGGTTCACACTGGTGCCCCAGATTGCTGTACAGGGCTCAACAGAGAGCGAGCAGGATGAGTGGGAGCCGTGTTCAGATGGAGAAGAAACCAACGAGATAGCTGAGCTGGAGGTGAGCGTCCCTACATCTCAACAGGTGGGACGTCCTGTCTGCAGTCAGGCATCAGAAATCGTCTCTACTGGTCCTCAGGCTGGACCATCAACAAAGAAGCCTGCATGCAGAGAGGAAAATCCACAAAAAGGCCATCTGAGAAAGTGACAACTTGCCACTGCACTCATTTTAAACTGCTCATATCTTTTCTTTCAAGTCTGTCAAAAAGTTGTAAACTCATTTACAAACTTGTCTGGCTGAGAGCGTGTGGGAGAAGATTTTACTTGAATTTTGTAATTGTAAATATTTGACTCAAGGCATTGCAGATGTTCTGGTCTTATTTATTACATTTGTAAACTATGATGAGTTAGTAACTGGGAAAGAGGGAAGTTCTCATTGGTTGAATAGCCAAGGCTCAACATTTTTGTATCCATAAAATGTTGTTTTATGTCTTTTGACTGGATTTTATATATATATAACACATACATAGTCGCGGTACAGAGTAGTTTGATAATGCTGGGCACTGTTGTTGAAGGACCAAAAGTTACAAGAAGTCATTTTAGAAGAAGTTATTTTTTTCCTCCTTCTTAGCATCACCTTAGATCTGAACAGTGCCGCCTACAATAGTGTGATACTGCTATTATTTTTGATCTCCATAAACCTAAGAGTGACCTTTGGTTCACACTGTGAGCAACATGGTTGATGTGTCATATTCTGATCAATTGTGAGCTGAACTCTGAAGTTGTAGCTACAAATTACAACTGTTTTTGCTGCTTTGCTTCTGCCTTTAATAGCACTACATCCTAGAAGAAAACATTGAAGCTGCCGAGCACTGATTAGCGTGCAGGAAGAAAAAAAAACTGCTCACGTTTGAAAGTTGCTCCAAACTGAGAAGCTTTGCACAGCTAGAAGTCTTCCATTTTGCAAAACAATTTTTCATGAAAGAAGAGGTGCAGAATAATTAATGGTTGTCTGATGGAAGACGGACATGAAAAGATTAGTTGTGCCCATGTTTCTCTGACAACGTCATCACATTTGTAAGATATATTAGTACTTCCAGTGACTTGTTGATCATGTTTCGTGCAGTGTGAATTTACGGTCACGGCATCATTCTTAAATGTGGAGCCAATCAGTGCAGGGTAATATTGCACCCTGCCACCGTCCAGGTATGACTTTAAAGTACAATCTGTCATAAAGACACAATGAAGCCCGTTTAAAAAAAAAGGGTGTTATGTGCCATGATATCAGTGCAGTGTCCTCCAAGCCATATCTATGAAGACCGAGATGTCAGTTGAAACCGTGTTTTTGTGTTGTATGTACTCTCAACTGAAGATGTTTTCAAAGTACTTGTGTTTTTTTCCCCACTGGTATCGCGATCTCGACAACATCTTATAAGAAATGAAGTTCTGGATGTTGCAGAACACGACACTTTGCTTCGTGGCTACTCGATATAAACTTGTTGTGATACGGTATCACAGAGGTACCTCTAATTAGTTTCGTATGTTCCTGCACACTTGTGTAAACACTGGTTCAGCATGGCTCTGTGTCTGGCTGTAATAACTTGTTCTAATCAAAGCATGCAGGAAAACATTGAGCAGCCAAATTGAAGTCTTTGTCTTCTTCAGAGCCTGGAGGGAATATCTTTTTGTTATATTTATTGTTGTCTTTTCTTACCTATAGCAACAAGACATTTTGTACCTGGAAATGTTTCGGATCCTCGTGTATTGTTGGAGTTTTCTTTCCTGAAACGGTAGCTTTTGTCTTTTGTTTATTTTTCCACGAGACACCATGCCTAAAAGACCTGTTCCTACTTAATTTACTGTGTAGTGATGTTTACATCGAGGGGAAACGTGCACTAATGTATTTTAACATGAATTTTGTAAGTGAATGTTGAAGGTAAACTGAAAATGGCAGAGGGAAACCCTTACATTGAATCCAAACCCAGGGCTTCTTTGAACAAATGTTTTATGTCTTTGTATTGTACAAATTTTGATGTATATTTTGATAACAAGGATGTATAATTCCATATGAGTTATAAGAACATGATATGCACAATGACAATTACAATTTGAGGCACCAGGATTTTGGGAAGTCTTCATTTGAGGGAATGTGCTGTTTTTACAAACGACCTTGCTGGGATTCAGAACAGTATACTTCACATTTTTCCACTACAGAGTTTTGAGGTTTATCGTCTTATTTGTCAGTGTTTTTTTTTTTTTTTTTTTTTTACTGACTTTCTCTTGAGTCTTGAATCAGAATTGTTGATGTGTTACCTAAGTCCTTCTTCCTCCTTAAAGAAAAGTCCTTAAATCTCACGATGACGACCTTTACAGGATGCTATTGTCGCGTCAGCGCGGAGAGATCACGTCACTGAACGACTCAGTTATTTTTGCAGTCTGACAGAATTGTTTACAATGAACAAACATGCTATGTACTGTACAGACATTATTATTAATTTTTTTTTTATCCTGTGGCTATATATGATGAAACTACCCTCTTTGATACCATGAAAGAAAATAACATTCAAAGACGTGACATATCTGTTTTTGTTTTGTTCTTTTGAATCTGTTCATAAAGAGTGAGTTAGTACCAAGCTGAGAAGCATTTAGTGTTCTTACATGCACTTAAGTTACTGGTTTATCGCCAGCTTTTTGAAAATGCCTGTGTCCAGAGGTTACATACAGGATCAACCCAGTTTTATTGACTGGACTAAGGGATGAAAGGAAACTTGGTTAACACAGATAGATTTCTGCTGGAAAAACTGATTTCTTGGCCGTGTAAACACTTGTGCCCATTTGCATGAAAAAGGTGTCATACAGGGAAAGTAATGCTGCAGAGGGATGAGTGAAACAGTATTATACTAGAGGGGCATATTATACTAGAGGGGCATTTATTTAGCTGATTTAACACTATTTGTACACATCACATTCATGCACACAGTAAGGGACAAACCTAAACTCTACACTGTACTGTAAAAAGGCTTCATAGTTAAAGAATACGTCACTACCACACATAAAATATGCTATTCTTTGTTCCAAAATGATATGGCAGGTGGTTTGGGAGAATCCTCTTTACAGTGCACGTATACCTGATTTATCCCCCCCCCCAAATAACCTGGTTTCTGATATGAATGTAAGTGTAGTCGATGTTTGATCTCTACTGGTTGAAAGCCTCGAGTCTGTTTAGAAGCTCTATAACCACATTTAAACAGCGGTACGGTACCTTCAGCCACTGGAGGTCAGCAAAGACGGGATTCTCAGCTGGTGTTAAACTCACTCTGAAAAGAACAAACTGGCAGTCAAACTGTTGTACATGTGCATGTGTTCTCCCCGTGGACTCTTCTGTTCAGTGCATGCTGCATGAGACAAGCACACATCTGTAATACTTGATTGCATGGTATACCGGCGTTGTCGCCCCTGTACTGTGTTTTCTTGTGCAACAAATAAAATTTGTATTTCTCTTTGCCTCAGACTGTCTCCACTGGTGGTTGAGTTTTATGCACTTTGTCATTGTTTACCACACAGAAAACGTTGTTGAGTCACATAGGGGAGAGTGGGGTAAGTTGAGCCACCCCTTGTTGCTAGGAAATAGTAAAAAACTTTGATCATGTGACCAAATATTTAGGAGGAAGGCATCATTTCATGGAGCCTGTGAATGTAAGAACCACATGGGTAAAATGGTTAGATATTTATTTTTAAAAAATTATTTTTCACTCTTGAAAGTGAATTTAGTCTATCATAAGTTTCTTGAGAATTGTGTTTTAGACCAAAATGGATCATTTAAATGTGTTTTTTTGTTGTATCTATTGTGGTATCTATGAGCTACAACATGAGGTTATAAATTGAGCCACAAGACCACTTTTTTTTTGGACATGCTATATCATCAAAACAGTTTTGTTTACACTCATTTTGTTTGTTTGAAGGGATGCACAACATCCTGAAATATATGCAGATATATTAGTTAGCGACAAAACTAGGATTGCCTTGATGTAGTGATCCTAAATATGAAAAATGGCTCACCTTACCCCACTCTCCCCTATTAGTGCTCTTAGACAGCTCTGATGTGGATAATAGTTTGGTACATACACAACAAGCAGGTTGAGACACATTTTACACAGACTTTACTTCACATATCATATTAGTAAAATTCAAATTACAATAATCAGATAACAAACTAGACTAAATGCATGCAATTTTTAAAAAACATTTTGCTTAATGCTGGCCACAAATACATAATTCACTTTTATTATTATAATCTAACGGTGTAGTTTCCTCTCCAGACCGCCAGGTGTCAGTAAGGTGCAGAGGAAACATTTGTTCACATTACAGAAGAAGTCTTGTGTCCTTCACAACAGCAAACATGGCGACTGCTACCAAAATCATCCAGAGGCTGCGAAATCTTTTATCTGGGGTAAGAAACACAACACAGAGATACACTTTATATCCCAGGCCAGGACATACTGTGAAGAAATATTCGTTTATGTTGAATTAAATCTGCGAAATTACCCGACAAACGTTGCTTCTTTCAGCGCTAGCCAGTTGAGCTAACTAGTTCAATGATGGCTTACAAGTGGAAGAAGAAGATAGTTAATTAAATGCTTTTATAGTGTTCTTCAGCAGATATCAGTAACAGTAAGAGGAGTTAATCCTGTGGTGTTTTTCTTTTCCTCAGCATGACCTGCAAAGCAAACTGCAGCTGAGATATGAGGAGATTGCAAAGAGGTAAGCATTACCCGAGATAGATAGTTAGATAGTTAGATAGATAGTTAGTTAGTTAGTTAGTTAGATAGATAGATAGATAGATAGAAGTTATAGTTAGTTAGAAAAAAAAAAGTTAGTTATTTTTTTTTTTTATAAATCATTTATGTATGCATTACCGTGGACGACACGTACACACTGAGGAATATAAGAATAAAAAACTGCAGTGAGGTGATAGACTAGCTGTCACTCTAATAGAGTATGTGAAAATGACACTAGTGCAAAAATGATTACTGTGGATAATATAAATACAAATTGAAGATATATATATATAATACAGAGGCTGACAGACAATAACATTACAGACATGAGCATTCAGTTTCACCCCACAGTCACTGGGAGGAGTTGTGTAGTTTGTATTTCATTCACCAATCAGCCGTAACATAACTACTGACAGGGGCAGTGGATAACACTGATTATATGGTTTTCATGGTACCTGTCAGTAGGCGGGATATATCAGGCAGCAAGTGAACATTTTGTACTCAAAGTTGATGTGTTAGAAGCAGGAAAAATGGGCAGCGAGAGGATTTGAGTGACTTTTACAAGGGCTGGATGACTGCGTTAGAGCATCTCCAAAAGTGACAAAAGACTGAGTTTGTTTAAAAACAGTTTTATTGTCTTAGAACTCCTAGAACCCGGTTAATAATAAGTGATGTGTTGATGTAGGGTATCCTACTTGGCGGGTGAGAGCAGGAACTGGCAGCACACCTGCATCAGCTTCACCCTAAGATTAAATACGATAATGTTGAATCACAGGTGAATCGGCTGATCTCTGCCAGTTGTCAAGCTCTCGTTGATAAATATGTAGTTGTGCTGTCAGCATTCGGTTTTTAATGATCTTTCTATAGGACACAGCCACCGCCCAAACTGCCTGTAGGCCCGAGCCACAAGTATGCCAATAACTACTACTACGCCAGAGATGGACGCAGAGAGTCGGTGCCCGCCACTGTCGTTATGTCCTCACAGAAGGCTCTCACCGCCGGCAGGTAAATGACTCAATGCATTTCCATGTACGATAACAATTTGATTATTCTCTGTTACAACTCTCTTTTGACATCTTAATGTAGCTCGATTTAAGGTAAAAAGTGGACGAAGGCTGGAGTACTCGTGTATTTTTAAAGTAACAATGACCATTGACAATGAGTGCTGCAGTAAGGACCTGCAGCTCCTCATCTAGCTAAAACAGTGACAAACTCACTTCCTGTGGTTACTCATGTTAAAAGCAATTGTTCTTGCTGTGTATTTTTTTTAAGGGCATTCTTGCCATGTGAACACTTAAATTCAACTAGATTTTGTGACACACACACAAGATAGCTGTCTGATTACGCCTGATAAAAGTGCTCCAGTGCTGAGCATAAGTAACTAAAATAACTCAAATATTCTATTTATAATGAATGTTTAAGTACCTGTGGTGTTTTCTCGACTCTTTCGATCTCTTCTAGTCAAGTCGCTAAGGCCCCGAAGCTCCCAGTGACCCCAGGGGCTACATATAAGGAGCCATCCCTCTCAACAGACCAGCCGTACCTCTGAACAGCAGGGTTAAACCCCTTCAGCATCAACAACCTCAGTTCAACATCCAGACCTGCTGTTAGAGGCCTGAATACTTCATGTGTTGGTTGTATCCTGTACAATAGAAAATGTGAATAAAATGTGTTCTATTTAAGTTTTTAGTCCAACTCGTTATTCTGATTATGAACTGAACAAATGTGAAATGGGTTTAGACTTACGGTGATGTGAAAGATAGTTTGGAAACACTGGGTGGAAAAGGCTGCTCCTCCTCCCCAGACAACAAGATGTGTTCAGGTGACCCAGTTTGGTGAAGTAAACATATATACGATAATTAAAACATATCTGTCAATTAGTGTCGCTTTCGTCAACGAAAATTATGACTAAATATCATCGTCAACGAACCTTTATCACGTGACGGAGACGAGACGCAACGTAAATGGTGGTTGTGACGAAAACTATAATCAAATACTGTATATAATGCAATATTGTTGACGAATAAAAACGGGACTAAATGTGGTTTGCTAAATAAAAACGCTAGTCACAGACACACATTTTATTTGCACTTTTTTATTATGTTATTGTAGCTCGAGCATTCAAGCACCTTGTTTCTCTTTAAGTTAAACTTGAATGTAATGTCAATTCTTTCTGGCATTGTCATTTGAAGCTATTTATTTAATTTAAATTTATGTGTGTGTACTTCTTACATGTTACATGTGAAATACATATGTTGTAAATTCAAATCAGAGCGTCTGCCGTGTCTGGAATTGAATGTATTCTTGATTCTATAAGGTAACAATAATATAATAATAAGATAACCTTGTTTGACTTGTGAAAAGGGTGACTTAAAGAACATTTTGGTTTTGTCTATACTATACTAGGTACTTGTACTATATTAACTGGGTTAAATAGAATTGCATTACTAAAAAGAGACTAAAATACAATTTTCATTAACTAAAACTAGACGAAAATAGTCTTGGATAATTCTGACTAAAATAAGACTAAAATGCTCAAGACTTTTAGTCGACTGAAACTTGACTAGACTAAAAAGTGTATAAACGTGACTAAAACTAAAAACTAAAATGACAGTTTGACACAAAGACTAGACTAAAACTAAAATTAAAACAGGCCGCCAAAAACAACACTACTGTCAATATTATATTTAATTTCTGCTAATATATCCTCCTGAATGACACACACTGAACCTTTAAGTACATTTTTTTAAATCTTTATTGCCACTTATAACGTGACATAAGGACGGAAACATATAACATTAATGCTTCATAATGAAAAATGGATAACATGACAGCAGGACGAGTGGCAAGTTTAATATATATATAAAAAAGACAAGAATTAAAAGAGTAAGAACACTAATATTTCTTTAAAAAAAAAAAGTGTAGCATACTAGCTGTATGTGCAGGGACCTTTAAAGTGCTGTATTTGAGTGATTGTGGCGTAGTGACGTTGAAGTGGCCCCTTGAGCCTGTGAGGTGGTCCAATCAGCAGCCGTGATAGGAAACACCTGCGCAGACCTGTTGAGAAGTAGTTAAAGGTGAGCAGTTGTCGGACAATAGTGAGATACAGTCAATACACTTAATAACCAGACTGGGAAAAGTCCAGATGTAAAGTGGGAGCATATTTCAAGGGCATGCAGTTTTTGTTTTTATGTTTATTTGTGCAACAAAAACAAAAAACCGGCGTTTAGAAAAAAAAAAGAAAATTAATTGAATACACTCCGACTCGCCAAATCATTTCACGAAGCGAAATGTTGAATTAAAACACCAAATCAACGCGACATCAGGCGGTATTAGTTTAATGAACGTACACTGGACTCGACCGTTGTTACGGCAACACGCTTTCCCATCAACTCTTGCGTCATATTCCCGCGCCGCGTGCGATGCAGCCGTGGAGGACATCGAGCATGGGACACCTTGCAGGTTTATTTCTTCTGATCGTCCCTCTGACCTGCTCCCGTATCTGGGGTGAGTGATGGGGTGAGGTTTTTTCTGTGTGCTGCTCGTTTGACAGCCGAGCACTGCGCTGTCACTTTGAATGAAAGTCTGTCTGCAATGCAAAGTGCGAGGAAGTGGAGCCTTGACTTTGTGTTGTTGTCCTACTTTTAGTGTTGTTAAACAGTTTGTGTAAAGGTGAGAGGAAAGCCGCGTGGTTACAGTGTAAAACCTCCCAGTGTAAGATGGTCTGTAGTGAAAGGTGTCAATGAAAGGATTATTGTTTTATGTTTTGCATTTAAAAGTGTTTTCAACATGTTTTTTGAAATGTGGTCTTCAATATAAACACAAAACTTACATGTTTGAATCAAATGTGTAACTAGTTTTGATCATAAGCTCTTAGAGAAATTATTAGAATCACAGGATTTTGAGCAGGAAATGTATGAAACTTTTCTGTTTACCTGCAGACAGAAACGATGATTTTTATGGGAATTAAATACATTTTTATACGGTTTTAGGATTTCTATTATATAAAATGTGATGGAACAAGAGCAGGGAGTGTAAAACTGAAGAGAAAATGTTTATTTTGTTCATTTATTTACACTGAATCTTGAAGCTGTTTCTTATAGGCTTGTATGTCGTTTACAAAATAAAACTGAATGTAGGAAGATTCTGTAATAAATGCAATAATAATGGAAGAAATTAAGATAATTTATTTGTGTTTCAAGGGCATATGGTAGTTTTGAGTAAGCCTATAAGTTAAGTTGCCTATTATATAATTATTCTATCGTCCTTTTATGACTAGTTACCTGCCCAGTAACAGTTAACTGTCTTGTTTTCTCGTGCTTCAGGGGCTGCAGGTCACTCTCTGCCCGCCTGCCACGAGCAGCTGGAGTTCAGGTGTAGAGATGGTTCGTGCATCCCGAGGCTGAGTGTGTGTGACGGACACAAACACTGTGAGGACGGATCAGATGAGCACCGCTGTGGTGAGTGCAATGTCAACACCGTGATCCCCAAAAACCATGCAAACACACACACACACACACACACACACACTGGTTTGGGTTTCACACACTGTTTTTCAGCATGAAGTGGAATTACTTGACTTTCAACAAGTGCTTTATGTGAGACACAGATGAGATAAAAGAAACACAAGGCAGTGTACAAAAGATAGGAGTTAACACTGGCTGCAGGATGTGGATCAATGGTGATTATCTGTGATTATCAGTGGCATCACCAATGACAAACCCTGTCAACAGCGTGTGACCTCGTACCTACACTTGTCCTTTTCAACAATCAGTATTATGTGATAAAGTCTTATTGCTGATTATAAACTACATTGTGTTTTGTTCTGCTGGTTTTTTGGACTCTTATTTTATATATTATATTATATTAGTCTATTTCAAAGCCTCACAAAGCTTTGATTTTAAACTAATGTTGATAATGTACCACAAACACTCCTTTTAAACTCACTGACCCTTGGCATACAGTATATTACTTCAAGTTAATTTATGTGCTTCTTTTCTTGCTCTCTTTGGGAAAATCTGTGAGGGGGGGAAAAATACCATTGCAGATTTTTGTCTTATAATCCTGATCAAGTCATTAGTGACTTTGATATTGAATTCCACAGGGATTTGGTGTTCAGTGTGAAAGACAAGCTCCACAATGTTAGCAAAAGAAAAAAACCCTGCAGGAGAAAGTATTTTAAAAGGGTTTAATGTGATTGGAGGCGTTAAACATAAACATTGTTGATGTGTGTAATGCCAGCAGCCATGAATGTAGGAAGGGTTGCTCAGAGGTTAGAGAGACTTAGACTTTGACCTGAAAGTCGCTGGTTTGAATTCCTGCCAGGAAAAATTTAGAAAGTGAACAAGATTTACTTTGTCTCACTCAGAAGACTCCAACTTTCTCCGCTCAACACACACCAGTGCTGTTTTAACTGCTTCAGTAACTCTGGGTGTTGGAGGCAAATTTAGTAATTTTGCAAGACAAAATTATTTTTATATAATTTCTGCTCAACTGTGATGAAGTTTCTTAGTTTGTCAGGTTGTGATTTGCTGGATTAGTCGTAAAATTCCTGTCTAAAGTTTCTCAGTTGATTTTTCAACATATCACAATATAAAACTACACCTAACATGATGACATGACTGACATTAAGCCCAGCTGAAGATCTGAGTGGATGTGGACTAGAGTGGGATTGCTTATCGACCCATTAGACAGCTGGGTCTGATAAAAACTTCTATTGTAATGTGTTCTCAAATATATCTATTTGTGTAGTCTCCCCACATAGATTCTCCCCAACAGTCTTCTTTTTCTTATTATTTTCTTCAATTAAGGTCACTCTGAATATTTTATATTTGTTGCTCTCTTGAGTTGCCTTGAAACTACATTTCGAGATTGATTACAGACACTGGAGTTACCCGAAGATGTGGTGAACTCAGTTATCGTTAGCGGTCTTAAATAAGCTGATTTGTCAAATGTTGTCAAAGTCTTTTGAGATTCTGAACATCTATACTGACCTAATAACTGCTGTAACTTGTAACTGTGACTCTTCAAAGGTCACCCGTGGTGTAAGAAAGACGAATTTGCCTGCCGCAGCAGACGGTGCATATCTCTGCATTTCCTTTGCGATGGCGTGGACAGTTGTGGTGACGGGAGTGACGAGGCCTCCTGCATGAACTGCACCGCTGCTGGCTTCTTCTCCTGCGGGCTGTCTGACGCCTGCCTGCCTGGAAACAAGCTGTGCGACGGACGAATTGACTGCAAAGACGGGCGGGACGAGTCTGGGGAGTTGTGCGGTTGGTCTCAGCCACGTCCGCAGACCTCTCCCGCATGTACGGCATCTGAGTTTCAGTGTGGTGACGGGCAGTGCATCCGCCAGACCTGGAGGTGTGACCACACACCGGACTGCTCTGATGGCAGCGACGAGAACAACTGTGGTGAGTGAGACGTCTTTGAAAGCAAAAGGAAAGTAATAAGTCAAGTGTCAAGTACAAAGTTATGCAGAGAGCCCTGTCCACATTCTTTGTCGTTCCATGGTTTAGGCTGTTAGTTCCAATAAGGGAGATCTTATAGATATTTTAGACAACATGTGCTTCCAACTTTGTGGCAGCAGTTTGGGGAAGGCCCTTCATTTAATTACAGTATGACATTGTTAGTGTGTGGTATGGAGGTATTTTACTGGCGTGGGTGAGTCCTGATCTAAACCCCATCCAACACCTAAAGGCAGGAGTATCCTCAAAACCAACTAGTTTGTACAACACGTCATCCAGTCATGTCTGAAGTGTTTAAAATTGCTCTGAACAGCCGCACTCAAAAGCTGGAGTGAAAAAGATAATGGGGACCACAAGTAGTCACATGAAGAACGAAAAAAGAGATCTTGAGAGGAGAGTTCAAACCCTGCTTACTGTCTCACCCCCGTCAGATTGTCGGCATTGAAAAGTTACAAAAATTGTTGGACACAACCCCAGTTCTGACGTTGTGGAGGTGGAGTGCGTTTTAGATGCTGTCCGACCTTCCGACAAGCACTTCTGTTGATACCGACACCTTCAATGCTGCTGTGGCTGAATGGGAATAAATCCCTGCAGCCAGACTCCCAAATCCGGTGAAGGCCTTTCCAGAAGTGAAGGCTATTATAGCAGCAAAATAATGGTTTTAGATTGAGATGTTCAATAACCACATACTTGTTACTGGGTGCCCACATGTAGTATTTTGTTGCTGATGCAGCCCTGTACAGCAGAGGGCAGTATAGTCAAAGTCAAAGTCAAAGTCAGCTTTAAAGTAAATTTCTTCACCTGCACCAGACATACTTATGGTAGAGCAAAAAGGCAGTTGGTAATGGTAGCAAAAAAATATTACAAATTCTGTAAGATATATTTGAACATTAACGGTGCAAAAAGTCAGTAAATAGCAGCGAATTTCAGTCAGAATTTCAGAGAGAATTTAGCTTCCTGACAGCTTGGAGGATGAAGCTTTTAGTGAGTCTGGTGGAGCGGGCACGGAGGCATCTAACAGGAGGCTGAACAGACCGTGTGCGGGGTGGCTCACAATTGAGATAGCTTTACGGGTAAGGCAGGTGATAAATGTGTCTTGTGAGGAAGGGAGTGGGGCACCAATGATCTTACCAGCTGTGTTTACTATGTGTTCCAGTGCTTTTCTGCTGAATTCAGTGCAGCTCCCACCCCACACAGTGATGCAGCTGGACAGGATGCTTTCAGTGGTGCCCCGGTAGAATGTGCATGTGATGGGTGGGGGAGCTTTTGTTTGCGGAGGAAGTAGAGGCCGGGGGGGGTGGACTTGATGTGAATCACTTCATGATGATGGGGGTGATAGTCATTGAAGCAGGATGGAGCAGGTTTCTTTGGCACAGATATTATGATGGTGGCCTTGAAATGTGAACAGCAGAAAGATATCTGAAACATTTCCGTGTGCTTGTATGGTTTGTTGCTTCAAACCGTGCGAAGAAGCTGTTGAGGTTGTTGAGCAGAGAGATGTTGTCGGCCCAGATCTGTGGCGCGGGCTTGTAGTCCGTGATGAGTGCAGTATAGGAGTTAGAAACTTATCATTGACTGGCAGAGTCATTAAATACCTGTGGGTGGAGAAGATATAGTTCCTAAACACAATTTTTAAGCTTGAAACTGTGTCATAATGGCCAAATGTCTCGACTGGTGGTCAAGTAGTATTTTTATTGATGATGTTTGATCAGTGCCTGAATTGTCGACTAAGATCACCACAGACAGAATATATTAAACCGCAGTCTTACTAATGCAAAACATATAACAGACAAACAACACACACTGTTAGCTGTGTTTTGCCATCTGGATGGAAGAAACTACTAGTGTATTAATACTAATGTATTAGAATATTATTTTAAAGCATTTTATACGTGTATTAATGAATAAATACAAATGTTCCATATCAAAACAGGGTTAGGGTTTAAATACAGTTGTAGAACCAAATGGTCACTTTCAGGGACGCTGGAAGTCGGTCAGAACTCGTTTGTTGACGTCATTCTAAATGCATGTGACGAATTAATACTAAAACCCTAAAGTAGGGCAACCTCTAGTTACCAGATATCTTTCATAATCCAGATCAGTGGTTCCCTAAACTTTAAAATTTTTAAGGTCATTGAGTAAACTGATGACGCCTGATAAACTGTGAATGAACTCAAGTAGTGGAAGCAATGACTGCAGGAAGTTATGTAAAACAAACAAATTGGGAGAAGTTCTAGCAGATTACTTCCTGTGGATCCTGAGAACTTGTTATACAATTCTTCATCTGTATTATGTGTTTTTCTTTATTTTTAACAATCACATATACCTCATAGGCTTCTTTTTCAACAAAAGTTTTCTTCTCCCTTACGCTTGGCCATTGTTTTATTAGCAATACTTTTGTAATGCAGCATGAGGTTGTTTCACAGAGACTTAAAATCAGTATGGCGTTGCGACCCCTAGTCAGGGTCCCAACCCCCAGGTTAGGCACCTCTGACTTAGATCTGTAACCAAATCACACATCCTGTTGTGCTAATGGTGTAAATGTATCACTGTACAGGCAGCTGGATTAAACTGTCTGTGTGATCATGTGCCCTCACATCTTTGGTTACTACGATCAGTGGGAAACTCTAAACATGCTGAAACACCTCACTGTGTTGGTCTGTGATAGATCGCCTGCTTTGCCATGCCTTAATTGGAGTTGAAACAGAGTTAAAGAAAATAAAACTCCTGACTAATACACTACATATGATAAACAACGGCTAAAAAACAATGTTAAACCTCTGTTCTACTCCAGATACGTGTGCATCACGCATATACATCCTAGTAATACCTGATTTTAGATGGTGCTCACATTGATCATGCTAGCAAACAGCAGTGTACTTCCTCGTGTGAAACCACTGATGTTGTGTCTCTTTTTTTGCAGATCAGAACGAGTGTCAGGTCAATAATGGAGGCTGCTCTCATCGGTGCGTCGACCTGCCGATGGGTTACCTCTGCGATTGCCCCGATAACATGAGGCTGGTCGGGGACAGCCAGTGTGAGGGTTAGCAGCTTGATAACAGCTAATTAATTTAGTTTTACATCTTCTTTTTGTAAAGATTTGTCCTGACCAATCGCATAAAATGACCTTAATATATTATAAAACAGTGGGAACTGGACTTCCACGTGCACTATTTTTACCGCATTCCTGCACTCCGTCCTTGAAATACCTTTTTCAATCTTTAATCTAGAAGTCAACACATGCCTGGAAAACGACATGTGTGATCAGCTGTGTGTTCGCAAGAACGACGGCGTCACTTGCGGCTGCCACAAAGACTACGAGATGAATCCAACAACTGGAGAGTGCAAGGCCAAAGGTGAGAAACAGTGATCACTGATAACCACCGACAGCATAAAGGGTAAATGGTTTCATGCACAATGTTTCACTTACCGCAGAGACTTTCCGGCTCATATCTTAATTACAGGACATAAGGCTGTATTTCATATCATATACATTTCCATCATATTTGTCCAAGGATTAAAGGTCATTAAAGATAAATCTGTTGACCAAGTAATACAATGAAAGGAAAGGAAATAAAATAAATAATGGGTAAGCTGCCCACTTACTCAATCACTAACTTGACATCCCCTTTTAACTTCAAATCCAGGCAAATTTGATTAGCTACATCCTCTATCCAGCCAATGATAAACTAAATTGACTGCTTGCTACTTTCTAAAGTCTGAAGTGAGTCTGCATCTTTCCCAGAATGCACTGAACCAGAGGCAGAGTGCAGCCTGGACAGGACTTTATGCCACATTATGTCTACAGTGCAGATTACATGATGTTTTCCACTATTTACCTGTCCCAGACACATTTCTGAGATTTGACACAAAAATCCTGGAATCAGCACAGAATCGGTCCCCAAGATCATCGTGACGTATCTAGTTTGAGCATTTCTGAGATGAATCGTGCTGTATGTTGTGAGCTGTCTCCATTGCTCCAACAGTTTTCAAACATATTTGAGTCTATCCTAACTAAAAACTAGATGCTCTTTTAGTTAAAGCACCCTGAGATAAGTGAGAGCACAACAGGAAGCTGAGAGCAGGTAAGGAGGGAGGCAGCACACATATAGTGTGTGTGTGTGTGTGTGTGGCTGTGTGTGTGTGTGCATTTCTTTTTAATATCCATGTAAAATATTCAGATTTTATGTATCTGAATATCACAATCATTTGCTCAAACTGGAATAAGCTCCTCGTCTGACATCGGTTGTGTCGTCTCTGTACAACAAACTGTATTGCTGTGTGAGCGGCACAGCAGTTCAGAGAATTAAATAGCTTTTAATTGGACATTTTTACATAAATAAACACCAACATGATATTTTCAGTCTCCAGTTTCTTTAAAGCTCCACTAATCAGTATTTCTATATTAACAATAGATCAATGGCTGAACCCAGTGAGCCAACTCTGCACTTCCCCCTCAACTCTGGAGTGTTTGAGTGTATATTAGCTCACTCCCACCTAAAGTCACAGCACCTAATTGACTTAAACCACTCAATGTAGACGGTCCATGCGGTTTAATAAATACGTCAAATAGTTCTTAATTCAATGAATAGAGCACATGGTGAAAGGCTGGTGTACCACTGGTATTTGCACAAGAACTCACTGAGAATACATGTTTGCACCCGATATTCATACGTTATCAGTAACATGTGGCAGGTTTGTAGACCTGTTTGTAGTCCCACCCTGGGAACTTTGATTCATTTAAACTGTAAAGGTGAGTATGGCTGTACAAACATATTAGCCAACATCCATCAGCTTACTGGAGACATACCTACTGAATAAGCCCCAGCTGTCGTCACTAGTGTATTGTTACTATTGTGATCTGCTATTGTGACGTCCTTTCCATTGTGTTAGCAAATAATCGGGTTGGGTGTTTTTTTTGGTTTGATCTCTTTTGAAACATGTTAGATCAAAACAATGAACCTTGAGTGGGAACCACACTCCCACTGATAACACCAGTTTAATTGTGTGCTGCCTTGTACTCCGGCAGGTTGGGCTTCTCTCATTTTACTGTTTTTTATTTTTATTTTTTTATTTAATGATTCCAAATATTTTAATATAAATAATAAAATAAGTGTAGCCACTTTTTACAACATCATGCGTCATTGCCACATAGATTATGTTAGTTTGATATATATTTGAGAACTAGCATGTAGTCAGGGGGCCGAAACTGATGAAGGTAACACTTCTGGGAATGTGGATGTGCAGCTTGGTGGGAGAACTCTTTTGACAATGAAGGAACTGACCGTGAAGAAATGGATCTTTATCAGGATTAGTGCCACAAAGTATGATGTAATGCTCACAGAGTCAGTGTGTTAAATGTACGCAGAAATTATAATGCATGTTTCCAAATTTGACCATACTTGATTACATAGAATGTTTCCATTACTGGTAAGATAATACTCAGGTACTGTTATCCACAATAGTATTGAGTGTTGTCACGTCATATCCATTTGTATTGTTTCAGCCTATTTAGTATGAGATATTCAGAAATTTTAGGGGCGACTGTGGCTCAGGTGGTTGTTTAGTTATAGTAGAGTTCCTGGTTCGATTCCCAGCTCCCATAGTCCTAGCAAGAGGAACCACCAATTATTTTGGATATGGAGTGCTGTATTGCTGAAATATAATATTACAAAAATATTGAAACATTTGAATTGGACCCTTTGACTATATAGCATTTGAGTATTAGAATATTAAAGGACTTCTTTAAGTCACCAGAGAAACTTTTCAACATGACAACCACCCTAGAACTAATCCTATAGTTCCCTTCTAACCCCCCCCAAAAAAAAAGCTTTTACTCAAACATGTCAGCAAAAGTCATATCGGACACAGTATTCTGAATTGGCCCCCTAACAAATGCAGAAAAAGGACAGAGAACAAACAGGACTTTGAATTGAATTTGTGTGTGTCCTTTCAGGAGATGAGGCTCAGCTGGTTTTTACCTCTTCCAAAGGACTACAATGGTTAAGCATCACTGGCACTGAGTACACTGAACTGGCTCCATATCTACCAGGACCGGGGCCAGTGGCGGCCTTGGCCTCTAACCGAACACTGTACTGGGCCCGGCAGGGACGAGGCTCCATATACAGGTAACAGAGTGGAGCTGTAGCTGCTGCAACCAATAACACATGGTTCTATATTAGCTCCCAAAGCAATGCGTGAGGGGAATGACTGTTGCAACTCCTGTTAAAGCACAATCTGTTATCCAAATATAAACAAATTAATAACCCCATTCATCCGTTTTCCATCACTCATCTGGGTCTGGGTCTATGTCGCTGCAGGGATAAGCAAGATAACCCACATATCCTTTTCCCAACCTTTATCCAGCTCCTCCTGGAGCATCCCAGGACTTTCCGTGGGCAGACGAGTGATATTTATTTAATCACATTGCAATGGTTTGACATATATTGTGATTGTGGTACAAGTTATGTTTTTAGTGGGAAATTATGAATGAAAATGTGATATTTGCTGCAGTTTGTACAGAACAAGCATGTTTTTCTACATTTGGATAGTAGCAGCTAATGTAGCCTCGAGCCACTAGCTTCAAGCAGAGATGAGGTGCGGGCTAAAGAGGTCTGGTAAGCTTATTTTTTGACACTTAAAACATTAAAAAGTTCATGCAGTAAAACCTCCAGCAGACACAAAGCAACATTAGGATTTATTTGTGTTCTGTCTACCTAATTAGGTCCAATATTCACTAAAAAGGGAAAAGGGGTAGAAATATCTGTCTCCATCAGTTAAGTTAGCAAGTCACCCACTTTTTATGTTTTTATGTTTAAGACAGTAAATTGTGGGTAATGCAACCAAAACAGTGAGCTTAATGCCTCTATAAAGCTCTAAATAGCTGAGGGGACCTCCAGTGTTAGGTCATAACTCACTGAGTAACCCCTTTTACCTTACACACCGATCCATTGATAATATATAGTAAATATTGATTTATAGTAGCTTTAAGGAACCTATTCATTTGCTTATTATACATTTTTTGTCACCTATCCTCTATTGACAGTCTGAAAGCTGTAGAAAGCTGTAGAAGCTTGAAGAGTAAACATCAGGGTTAGACACCTCGGACACCTCCGGATCAGAGACACGTCTGTGTATTATTATTAAACAAAAAAAATATTCCATTGTAGGTGACTTTGTTGACTTAAAAGATCTCTGAGCAAATATTGAGTTAGAATACAGTTGTCAATCTCATGTCATTATTTTACTGATAGCAGACAACCTGCTTTTCTTCTGCTTTGTTTGTCTTCCTGGGTTATGTTACTGTGTTGGGTTTACCAGCATGACGTTGCCTGACATATAGTTTTCCTTCCTGGATCAAATAGGAAAATAATTAAATTCAATTTAATTTTTCTGAGAGCAACTGACTGACTGACAGTCTTTCTAACTCCACACACCCAGACTTTTTTCATTTTCAAACTCATAGTCATCCCTTAGTGCTAACTCAAATTTAATGCACTACTGTGGAGTTCCCCTTTAAGGGTGAGTGCAGCCACTCTGTGAAGGACACCAACATCTACTACGTATATCCACGACAAACAATGGCTATAAGAGGTTTGTAGTTGGACAGTGCATGGTGGCTGTGTAAAGTTGTTGCTTACAATTAATTCCACTAGTGGAATATTTTTTAATAGCAGGAAAAAATGTGTCGCAACAGTCATAGAAATGTCTTGAATTGCTCCTGCAGCTTTATGCTCTTCTCCTGTATGCTCAGTAAGTTCCAACTCCTCCGTTTTCTTCCACAATGTGGCTAAACACAATTTTTTTCAGCCAGTAAACATTAGCTTGTGACCTTTTCTAAAAAGGTTCAACAGGGAATTGCCAATGAGCTGTTAATGACATAGTCACAGTTTGACACCAAGTCAACAACTGATCAAATTTCATTTAATAACAAATTAAACAGTAGAAGATCTAATATTTCACTCCTCCCTCTATTGTTTATATATATATTTTTAAATGTTTAAACAACAGTTTAACCAACAGACTTGAATTTCCCTCGGGATAAATAAAGTATCTATCGATATATCTATCTATCTAATAAAACAGATGTTCTCTAATTGTTCCTGTCTGTGTAATTTTACTTTATTCCAGGACACATCTTCTGTATTGAAGTGATGACACAACATTTTTTAATTTGAAAAAAAGGAAACAAAGCGTGTGAAATTGACATTTAGTGCACAAAAACAAAAAATAGGGAAGTGAAAATAATTGAGTTTTTTTTTTGGTGTTCAGCGGCAGAAGAAGAGACACCATCTGCTGTTGCAGGCCATTGCAAAACATTTTTCGATTCTGTTTGAAATTTACTTGTAGCTTAACCATGTATGGTCAAGTCATATAATAGGTTTCGATCTGAGTTCACTGTGGCGTGTTTTTTAAACTTAAAGATATGTTGATACTTTACCACCAACAACAAATATCTACCCTGCACATCATGAGAGCCTAGTGTCAAGCGTATATGCCATGTGCCAACCACAACTGTTATCCACAATAGTATTGAGTGTTGTCACGTCATATCCATTTGTATTGTTTCAGCCTATTTAGTACAAGATATTCTGAAATTTTAGGGGCGACTGTGCTCTAAAAAAAAGCTTTTTAGAAGAAGAGACACCATCTGCTGTTGCAGGCCATTGCAAAACCTTTTTCTATTCTGTCTATTAAAAGGAAATCAAACACTGACAATTTTGACATTCTTTGGCTCTCATTTGTCCTCACTGACTAAACAAAAAACCTACAGTTCAACCAAAGACAAAAGAGAGATTCATAAGTATTGGACAAATTAAAATCTCTACCTGATAATGCTGCTCGTCGAAGGTCACCCAGGATATGTATTATTATTGTTATAAGTTATCAATGTTTGTACCATAATTTGTGCCAATCCATTCAATAGTTGTCTCTGGGGACCATTATATATCTGTAGAAAATGTCCAGTAATGATGATGAGTCTGGAACAAAGTGATGGACCGATTGTCCCGACATTGCCATCCCTAGAGACAAGCCGCTGGCATGGCTAACAACAAAAATGGTCTACAGTCTACAATCCATAATGAGAAGAAAGAACTCATTGAGGGACGTAGTCGTACATTGTCATAGTCAGGATTTGGATGGATCGGGTAGAACATGACTTTGAATGTTTTATCAAATATAAATGTTCCTTTCACCCCTGTATGTTTGTCAGGGTCTCCATGGATGGAAATCCACAGGATTCAGTGTTGGTGATGAAAGTGCAAGGTTCAGTGTCAGGCCTGGCTGTAGACTGGATCCACCAGCTCCTCTACTGGTCCAGTATGGAGAACGGTTCTGTTAATGTCGGCCTACTGGACGGTTCGGCTCAGCGGCGGCTTATCACAGGACTGGACAAACCTTCTGCAGTGGCTGTGGATCCTCTTCAAGGGTACGAGGGCCTTTACTATTCCTCGTGTTATAGCTAAAAGCACCATCACGGAAGTTTATTTTACTTGCGCCACCAGAGCAACTGCTTCAAATATTTAGCCATGGTGAAATTTTGTTGCGTCATGATCTTCATTTATTTGTTTTTAAAAGTCTTTCACCAGGTTTTCATGAGCTAACAGAACACCAGACTATCTACCTGCCTTTTTGTTCTTAACTTAAATACATTCAGGTTTAACCACATTTTAAGATTGAGGTTAGTTTGAGTTTTCGCTTAATTTGTATTAGTCTGTTTTTTCTTTGTTAAAGCCTATTGTTTGCCAACTTGGAGAAAGAAACGCTGTCTGAATAACTTTCCCGTAACGTTCTTATACAGTTTCTAAAGCACATCGCTTCTGTTACCCTTTAATAACAACAACAACAACAACAACAATCTTCTATATAGTGCATTTAATACAAAAAGGGGCAATACAGGCGTTTCACAAAATTACAAAAATACACATAAAAAGACGAAAGATGAGGATAAAGCAAGAATCTGATCCCCAAAACTCTCAATACCCGAAATTCCCAAAGCTGCTTCTGTTTTCTCAGGCTGCTCTTCTGGACTCAGTGTGGCGTCTCCTCAAAGATTGAGCGGGCTAGCTTGGCCGGTCGAGACAGGGTGGCTCTTGTCACTTCCTCAATTCGCCACCCCGTCGCTCTGTCTCTGGGTATGTTTCAAAATTTCACACAGATAATTGTACAGTGAGTTTGGGATCTCTGTTAAAGTCGGTGTTTACCTCATTTCAAATCTATGTGAATTGTTTAGAGAAGTTCGAAAGAATGGGAGCCACCCAAATCTTGCCTTTTACAACAGGAAGGGGTGTGTGTGGTTCTATGTGTGTTTCTGTTTCTGTGTTTTTGTTTCTGTGTTTCTGTGTTTCTGTGTTTGTGTTTGTGTGTTTGTGTGTTTCCGTGTGTGCGTGTGGTGTGTGTCCGTGTCCGTGTCCGTGTCCAGAATTGTTTACAGAAGTTCGAAACAATTTGAGAGCCACCCAAATCTTCCCTTTTACAACAGGAAGTGTGTGTATGTGTTTCCAGCAGAAGTCCTTACAGTGCAAGTCATGTTTTATGTGACTTTGTTTTGAGTGTTTGTTTGTTTTTGTTTTTTTATAGATATGCCTCGCCAGCTGCTGTACTGGGTTGACCAGGGAATGAGAACCATCTCCAGGGTAAATCTTGAGGGCCGTCACCGTAAAACAGTGGTAGAGTCTAATGGTTATCTGGACCGGCCCTTCGGACTGGCTGTGTTTGAGGTAAAACAACCACTTTACAGCCCTATGATGGAATGGAGACTGGTTTGTACCCATGTCTTTCACCACAATGCATCTTGAGACAGGTTTTAGTCACACATCCACTCGAAAAAAAACGTTATTATAATTGTTGAAGACTGTAGAATTAAAGTAACAAAGCAAAGAGCTCAACAACCATAAGAGAAAGTCTTGCACTACTGACAACACGTTCCACTCGATACAGAACTGAACTCTCCTCTTTTTCCTTTTATATTTGATATCTTGAAATCCTTGAAGGCCAGAAGCAAAAGTCCAGAGAATTCACACCTCAGGCGAGCACTCACAGATTTTCCTCTTAGATTTTTAACCCGCTCCCGCAGGCATTAGGTATTCAGGTTGTCCGTCTGTCCCATTCTTGTGAACGCGATATCTCAGGAACGCCTAAAGGGAATTTCTTCAAATTGGACACAAACGTCCACTTGGACTCAAGAATGAACTGATTAGATTTTGGGGGTCACTGTGACCTCTCAAAGCACATTTTTGGCCAAAACTAAAGAACTGAGGACCATATTTTACAAGTGGTTAGACACTAAATTGGTGACACTTTTGCATCAAAGTTCACTGCAAAATGACCTTGAATATAAATATAATAAGAACATTGTTACCACCTTTTTAATACAACATTTGAGTTATGATAAAAGTAATTTCTCAGATTTTTACACTGAAGTCCAGTTCTGCTAACTCTGTC